ATCTGAAATGTGTGTTTAATTGTATTCTATGGGTCCTGTGAATTTTCAGTGGGTCAGACAGACATCTGAAACTTACAGGACCAAATGTCCTGTTACTTTGAAACACCATTCGTAAACACTGGTGAGTCGCTTCTTACAACAGACATGAGTTACTGAAGACCAATTCTAACACTGATCTTCACGGTAATGAAAAGTCTAAAGTTTAAATGATATTTCAACCAAACAGGATGCAGCAGACGCTCCCCTTTCATTTTACAATCAGGACTGAGTCATCCTTTTTCTCCTAGGACAAATAATGCTGTCTCCTCGTTCCCCCTTACACACACCCGACAATATATTCACAACTGACATTGTGCAGATGTAATTAACTGCCACTGTGATAAGTTTGATATTAGTCCACAGCACAATGTAGGGCATATTTAGTTCATCGGTTTCCATGGAAACTAACCCAGAACTTAATTGGCATGATTTTTCACGACATGTTTTAATATATATCTGACATGAAGCCAGATTGTAGATCAGGAAACTTCTCATCCTTGTTCATATCAGGGTCTAAAATTGCACTTGCTGATACGTGTTTTCATTGATATTTATAGATCAACATGTGAGACCATGAGGGGTCTCAATCATGAACTATGATTATACTGTACCAAGAACAATAAAAACTCACTCAAATTGGTAAAGGTGAAATAAAGATAGTGTTCTATTCAGAACATCCAACTCAAAATTCAGAATGTAAGCTTTGAAGTCAAAAGTCTTCAATAAATCATGGTGGCAGCTCTAATGCTAAAAATAACATTCAGATTAAGTGTCATAACACTGGGTATGATGTGCTAGATAAACACAGAGCTAGATCAACATGTTGCCATAGAAACATTTCTCCTGTACAATGTCAATACATGAAATGAACTACTGCCTCAACATTGTAGCAAACATGGTCCCATTCAATTTTCCAGCTATATACATGACGATGGTTTGTAGTCTGGACCAGACACTCCAATGATTGACATCATGAGCGTCATTCCAGGCAATTGGGATATGAGGACACATATCAATCACCACCCAATCCCATTAGTCACATCTTACATGCTTAAGTAGCTAGAAAATTCTACCCCTGATTTGCTGGAAAATTCTAACCCTGATATGAACAGGTATAGCAAACCTGGATATGTAGTAAGCAGTTGAACTTGAAACAAAAGTGGCTGACAGAAGATAGTCAGATTATTTTTTTTTGTCAGATCGTTTCTGCATATATAAAGATACTGAAGAAAAGTACAGTTGCTTTTGTCTCCAATTTTGGATTTTGAGAGAATCAAAGAGCATGGTATACATAATACAAGGCATAGCAATGATCCGAACCAGATATGTTACATGGTCGTTATCTGGTTAAAAGTAAAAGTGGTAGTCCACAAAAACCCTCTTGTCTCAATCACTAAATACATGAAGGGTAATTGGTTGTCAGTAAGATCTATTAATGTGGACATTCCTATTTGAAATCCCAATGACAAAAAGTAAGAAAGCCCACAACTAGAATTTGATTATAAGCACAACACCAAAACTTGGCAATATACAAATATAGGCCCATTTGTTTCTATTCTCATATATATATACAGTGTACTCTGTCAATACCGGCATCAGTCGGGACCAAGTAAAAATGCCGGTTTTGACAGAGTGCCGGTTTAGCTAGGTTCGCTTATGACGCCTGCGCACACGGAAGTTCGCTGTCGTACTGTCACTTTAGCATTAACAAGATGTTTGAATAAGAAACAAGGCAGTGTCTGAATGCACATTCATGTTGTTTAAATCAAATAAAAATGTCTGAAATCTCTTATTAAATTTCAACTGATCATATATTATCGGCAGAATTAAAATTATAAACTATTTTTCGCAATGTTATTGCAAACAACGATTCTTGTTTATGCTTCGGCAGCGGGTCTACAATAGCATTGTCAAAGAGCAAAGTAACGATGTTTCAAACATGGAGGAATGTATTAAATAAATTGAAATCAACAATAACATTCATAAAAGTCAAGTCACTGACAAGTTACATCTTGGCTTTCACCGCCTCCGTCTTGACGCCCGGACACGATGCTTAATGTGAAAATATATGCATGAAGCATTTTTGTCATAGGCCATAACCTAGCACGATATGTCCAATACGTTCCATAATTTACGTATAGGTAGCGATGTCTTTCTTAATATGTTCAGAATAGCATTATTTTACCCCAAAACTTTCGTCTTAATCTAAAAGTTTCCGTTTACGAGGACGGTATCCATTTCCATAATATGATTGGCTGCTTAGGTCACGCGGTCTGATTTTGACCAATCACGACCCTTATAAGCAGAGTGTAGTGAAAAGCGTCGTTAGAAACCAATCTTTATCCAATAAAATCGCTTCTTACAAATGTGAAAATACTCGGCAAGAGTACAGTGATATTGTTGATGTTCAGAGCTTTTCGAGCGATACATGCCATCAAACGATTAGCCTCTATGTAAGTGACACGTGCCACTCACTAATTAACAAGAAACTGATTGACACTTCCGTTTTCTGAATAATCCGAGAGTCAATACCCTGAATCAACAAAATGTAAACACTTGCTTGTTTATACAGTCAAACTGCCCACTACATGTATTAATTACTCTGGGTAAGTGTTACATTACCACTCACTGATTAACAAGATACTGATTAACACTTCCCGTTTCTGAATAATCTCGAAGTCACAGCGAATTGTGTTGTTACATCATTTGGACCTAATTGCATCAAAGGGTTACACCGTCTTTCATGTGCCGGTTTTTACAGATTCGTTTTCATAACAACTTGTTCGTTGGGACTGAAAAACAATGCCGATATCCTGAATAGACAGATGCCGATGTTTACAGAAGTTTCTAAATGATAATAACGTGCATTTCTGCCGGGACTGAAACTTTGTGCCGATGTAGACAGAGTGCCGGTGTTAAGAGAGGCCGGTATTGACAGAGTCCACTGTACAGGGGAAATAACAGGTACAACACCAACCAACTAAAATGGATGTACATATCATACTCAATACACTACAAATACTGACTTTCTACATACGATGCCATCTCTTTTAGAAGAAACAGTTGGCCTACATTAAGGGAAATAATGTATTCAAATACTTCTACATTTCATTGCCAATAATCATTTTTAACTTGCTGCAAGTTACAGATTGAAAGCTTAGGATAAAACATATTCAAACAGTTGGTTAAGGATACAATTCATCTTTGAGAAGGCCCGGGTTCGATTCCCCACATGGGCACAATGTGTTAAGCCCATTTCTGGTGTCCCCCGCCGTGATATTGCTGGAAAATTGCTAAAAGCGGCGTAAAACTAAACTCAGTCAGTCAGTCATCTTTGAGATTACACATCAAATTAACATATTGACCAATGCCCTCTTGCAGCTTGACAAAAACCATTGTTCGTAAATATGAAATTAAGATGGCTCCAGATTGTAATTATTCTTTTCCTCATGTAACACTTTCTGTGCAGTGGCAAACAAATAAAAAGAAGAACATGTCATCTTCTTGCGTAACACTACTATTTATGTGGGGTAAACCCCTAAACCAGATTAAAAAACTATAACAATTTGCCTGTATCTCATCCATTCACAAAATATTTTTCCCTTTTCCCTTGGGAAGACTAAGTCATAAATAAATTACATGCAGAATCTCTTGCACATTTTGTAAGAAACAAAACATTCGGCAGTTTGTGGTTAATATATTAGGTGGCACAATTAGAATACTATGTTATACTGTAATCACAATTATCATGTTTATTTTAATAGGTCAAGTGAAATCCCATTCCAGGGATTACAGGACGCGAATTCCTGCGTCCTATACACATAAAAATTGATAATGGACGCAACAAAATTTATTAGTGCATCCCCAGGGACGCAGAAAAAGACCAAACACTTTTTGTAAAAAGTCCAATCAAGTAACAATAGGTTATCACAGAGTTTGCTACTAGCTGAGTTATGGTATCATTTGCGATTTCATTACTGTAACAATGTGATGCTCATGATACACAATACAAAAACAGTATTAATAATAATATTTAAGTGTCTGGGACCCTATTTTGTTGTCCAGGACTCCTGAAAATTTAGATTATGAGTCCCAGGGACCCTCAAATACAGGACTCAAGGTAAATCCCTGCCATTCCAAAATATATCTTCATGGTAAAAAACACCCCAGTAATTTCCCATTAACAAAAATACTGGGAATCAAGGTGGGATCTGGCTGGTATAATGCAGTCTCTTCAGTGACAAGTTGTTATTGATAGAGATCAAGAGATCAGACTAGAAGATAAACTGTTAGCAGACAAAAAAAAGAAGGGATATATGTGATCACATGATTCAAATAATCACAGCTGAATTGGGGTTTCAAAATGATTGTACTTATACAACCGAGGTTGCTTGTAATAGTCTAGATGCACGTATAAAACCGTTACTGTGCTAGGCCACTGAGCTACCGTGCTGCCTTAAACACTGTACACTGACTGAGTTGACCTATCATTGTTATAAAACATTAAATTAATGCCTAGTGCAACCCAGGATGGTTATCAGTGATTAAAACACTGTTCAGTCACAAATTCTTTTTCCCTTATAAAAGTCAATTTGACATGATCTAATTAAAGTTCGGCTAAAGTCTACATATGTACGTAAATAAACAATGTTAATGGCCTAAAAGCTAGCGACTCTAATCATCACTCACTTTTATAGTAATACCAACAATGTCTGTTTTAAGATTATCACATTACCATTGCCAAAAAGAGTAACTCTGGCAAATAGATAGTTACGTATCATATCGTCGTGACAAAGGTATTATACAAAGGGAACGTTGTCAATAAACATGGCTGGGACCCGTGAATATTGTAGGCTCCGTTATGTTACACTGTCATCTCGAAAACTGTCTCTGTGTTGGGTCTAGAAGTTGTTGTATCGCTTAGAAAGTATCCCTTCTTTCTCATTACTAGACATACTTACAGTATCAAAACCAATCAACCCGGAAATGAGATGAAACGCTCGATCATATTTCTCAGTATCTTACTTCTCTTCCAATATCCAAAACATTAATGGCGACAAGGTCACATGACTGGGAGGTGCCCTAAATAGAGTTGCCTCCCCTGTTTTGCAGAATTTCTCAAGGAGTTATCTAAGCAGTGAGTAATTTCTATTCAGACTCGTAAACCTGACATCAGCTATGTAAAGCAAAAGTTCTGTCGCTTTAGTTGCATAATAGAGCGTGCTAAGTGTCTTTTATGGACACGCAGACCTAAGGTTCAAACATGGCGTTCACCATCTGTCAATTATATATAATTATGTCAATGTTTAAACTTACAAAGATAAGCGTTTATCGGGTATATATAGCTATATTCCTCTTTTTATTATTTATTTTTGCCATTTCTAATCTGTGTCTATACTCTGATATCAGAGAATAAAAGGAAATAAGATGTTGTTTTACGCAAATTGATTGTCTACAAAGAAAATGATCGGACACAAATTATGGCATATGCTTACATACTCTGGTTTCCATCAAAATTAATGTCCATGAGATATTCTCAAATTATTGATGATATCAGTTCGTAGCACATCATTACTGGAACATTGAAGAAGAATTATTAGTTGTCTTCGGGAAAGAAAATAATGAATCAATCTTTTTATCACAATCTTGAAAGATCTCTATTTTGCGTTCTGCAATGATGCTTTATCTCGCGTTCATATCATATATATATTACGTAGTCTTTGCAGTTGGTAGCTCAAAACGCTGTGTTTGCTCAGTATTGCATTAGATGTTGTAATATACTCATGCCAATAATGGTTGTCACCCCCTTCAATTTTTTTTTATTGGAGATGGGGTGGGGGTGTGGGGCGTGTGTGGGGTAGGGGTGGAGAAGGGGTGACAACCATTATTGGCATGAGTATAATAGAATTTATGTTAGGATCTAAGTTATTCCTAGATTTTATATTTTAATGTGTGAACGACTTAAGAAGTTTCCGTTGGACATGTTGAAACTGTATGTATGCATTGTTACGAAGGTTATAACAATAATTTGGTTGAGATTACTTTGAGTGGTACTAGAAAGAAATCGGTTACCATTTGGGTTTGGTAAGGTTTTATTTATTTTGAGAATGCCTTTTCCAAAGGGAAACCTATCCTGTGTCGATATACCGCGAACTGTGAGATGCAAACATTGGCAAACCAGAGCCAATACGTGATGCTTTAAGCTGAACCTTTGCAGTGTTACCAGGACTCGGCATGGTGTCTATGAGTTTATACGTGTTCTGTTAGTGAGGTTGTTTTATCATCATCTCTTTACTTGGATTTGGTAAAATACAAATCTTTTCCTCAGCGGGATGAAATCAACCGCCCAATCTTGGGTCTTTCTAAACAGACTAGGTTCCCGTTGTTGACAACATTGAGAGAGTGGACAAAGTTTCGTTTGAATTATTCGAATCAAACTCATGATTGCCTGAACTAGAACTGCTAAACTGTCATTGAAGAAAACTTTGATCCAAGACTGAAGCTGTGAGTTGTCAATTTACTTTTGAATAATGACGTTTCTGGCGTGTACAGTCGGATGTCATAACGTTTGACGTTGTAAATAGCGTCATGTCAGCAGTATACCAGTTAAATGGCGGCCATCTGTTAACAATGGAGCATCGATCTACGCAACTGGGATAAGATGATATGCATCAACCAAATCAGCGAGCCTGACCACCCGATCCCGTTAGTCTCCTCTCATGACAAGCATGGGTTGCTGAAGACCAATTCTAACCGGGATATGTTACGCCGAGATAGTGTCTTCGGGTGAGTGATTTTCGTTAAACGCCCATTCGAATAATATATCAGTTGTCTATTAAAGCCCGTAATTTTTCTGTGAGAGGAAAGTACGGGGTGCTGCTGACGTTGACAATGAAACCACGAATACTGGTATGTTGCTCGGGGGAATCGGGATTCGAACCGACAATCTAGGGGATGCAACTCTGCACTCAATTGGTATCCCAATACACGAGTAGACGGATGGTAAACACACTTACTCCCCATGCTGAAGACTTGTTTAGGCTTTATACCTGGGCTATGTGATATTGCAGGACTATTGCTTAAAGTCACGGACACACTAAGCCCTTGTCACTCCCAAAATATAGTGAGTGAGTGAGTTTGGTTTTACGCCGCTTTTAGCAATATTCCTGCAATATCACGGCGGGGGACACCAGAAAATGAGCTTCACACATTGTGCCCTAGTCTGTCTCACAGTCCCTGAACCACATTATTTTCCCTACAGCCTAGCCCTCCCTGCAATGCTAAAGCTCTAAATGAAGCAAGTCTAGACTTCCCCAGGGTGTGAATCACTCGTCTCCCTGGGGCTCCATTTCAATTTAAATGGGCTTGTCACAAGTTGTTACAATCAAAATTATATATATATTCAGAGACCTAGCGTTAGTCTAATTGTGCCCATGTGGGGAATCGAACCCGGGTCTTCAGCATGACGAGTGAACGCTTTAACCACTAAGCTACCCCATCGGCCCCACAAAATTTAGCATCGGATCAGAGTCGTAACAATTTGTGGACTTCAGGGACAGGTTGAATTGTATACACACCGTTCCTCCATTGATGACGTAGTGTAACAAACCCATGAAGCATCTATGGTGGGCTGTGGAACCAAGATTGTACTTTTAATAACTAAACTGATTCATCACAAACAAAAACAGTCGCGTTTGGTTTGGTTAAAGCCGCTTCGACGAGAATTGTGGCTGTATTGTTGCATGTCAGCTGGATATGAGAGGAAGCTTGCAGTGATCTAGGTCTCAGATTAGTCTGTCTCATCCCCAACATTATTTTCCCTTCCGCTCGACCCTTTCTGTAGTGCTAAACTCTGATGATGGAAATCTAGATTTGCTCAGGTTTTTAATCTCTCATCTCACTGGGGCTACTTTTCAGTTTAAATGGAATTGTTTGTTTTTATCAAAATCAATAAGCGATATTTTAGTCTCATACGTCCACCCCCTATGGTGAAACCCATGAAAACGGCACTGTGACATGAAACGTGGAAGAGTGGCGGGTAGGACTAAGGGAAGCAACTCTGGCGTCTCAGATTACTGATACATCGCGGTCCCGACACGTTAACATGACGCAGAGTAATCTGTAACACCAGACTGACGAAACACTGTGCAATGACAGTTAACAGACGAAGCGAGATCCAAAATATCACTGACACAGTTATTGTTTTGGTGTGTTTTTTCTGTTTAACTTAGCAATATTCCAGCTATATAGCGGCGGTCTGTAAATAATAGAGTCTGGACCAGACAATCCAGTGATCAACAGAATGAGCATCGATCTACGCAACTGGGATACGATTACATGTGTCAACCAAGTCAGCGAGCCTGACCATCCGATCCCATTAGTCGCCTCTTATACGACAAACATGGGTTACTGAAGATCAAATTCTAACCCGGAGCTTCACGGGTACTATGCTTTTCAGAAACAATGTTGTCAACAATTTGTCAGACTGATAACAGTTATCAAAAGCTCTATGCATATCGGACAGTTAACAGACGGATCGAGGTTATAACCACTTGACACAAACTTAATCGACCTCCAGATTGGGGATGACATAGTGTTGATGGTGGCAGAAACCATATACGGTACATGGCAGATTTTTTCAAAGAAACGGTACGGTGACGTTACTCCGAGCTCCGAGCTCTCCAGTATCATAAAGCAGGGATACTATATAACGTAGATAATCCCTGTATGAAGTAATCATAACATTGTACCCATTATACCTCCCAGCTGCAATCTTCAAGGAAGGTCGTTAAAGGGCACATGCAACCAAAAAATCAACCGTAATTAAAACACAATTATCCCCTATTCATGACATATAATATACATTGCTGATTATGAAAAAAACCCATATAAACAAAATTATAAGCGTACAATCGCAAATCAAAAGTGCAATATTTTGTACTTGGGTTTACTTCCCTAGAAACGAAGCAGCCGAGATACCGAACCCAGTCCGAGCAGGTGGGTGTGCACTCAAGTGTAACGGCTGGTTCATTAGCAGATGCCCTCACGGCTCATTGTGTGTGTGTATATATAGAGATATTGGGTTTTGTAAATACATGCTCATTTTTTGTGTAAAACATTTTGCAATCAACAGACATCATAACATGTCATGTGTACAAGTATCACGCCTGCCTGTCTGGGTAATTACATAATGTGACAGAGACCGAACTCGGGCCATAAATCAATGCGTTTTGTTTATGGTGTATAGCCTGATAGGTGTTAAGTTCAAATTGCATGTGGTCAGTGATCGAAGTTGTGTATTGAATATTGTCATTAGCAGACAGGCAGGCAGGCAGACACATAGGTGTCAATAAAACAGACATTGAGTTTTGTCTGTGACAACGACAGCAAGACAGAGGTTCTTCTTGTGGGTACAGACACCAAACGAAAATCTATCTCTGAATCTTCGCTTCGTATTGGTGATTCATTAATACCATTTTCTGATGCAGTGAAAGATCTTGGTGTCTTTCTAGACTCTAATATGACAATGAACAACCATATACAACACACCTGTAGAATTTGCTTCTACCACCTGAGAAGTATTGGCCAGATTAGACATTTGTTGACTCAGGAAGCCACTGGCCAGTTAGTCAGGTCTCTGATTCTGTCCAGGATTGACTATGGCAACAGTTTGCTTATCAACATAAGGCAAGATCTACTCATGAAGCTTCAGAGAGTACAAAATGCCTCAGCTCGGCTAATTCATCGCTGCAAGAAAACATCCAATGTAACACCAATATTGATGAATCTCCACTGGCTCCCAGTACAAGCTAGAATCGAGTTCAAAGTGTTATCCCTGACCTACAGCTGTTACCATGATGTTGCACCAGGATATCTGAAAGAACTTCTCCAGAAATATACTTCATGCAAAAACCTGAGATCCAATGATCAACCATCCCCAGGACCAATCTCAAATCCTTCGGCCAGAGATCATTCTCATTCTGTGCTCCTTCTCTCTGGAACTGTCTTCCTTTTGATATCAAAACCTCCCCATCTTTAGCTGTCTTCAAGTCCAAACTTAAAACCCATCTCTTCTCCAAGTTCTATCCTTGATACCTGCGCTTTGAGCAACCGCAACGGATGGAAAATAGCGCAATATAAATGCACTTATTATTATTATTATTATATCTATATCACAGTTAGAAATTCTGTCAACGATAAATAATGACATTGCTTTTAAGTATCAAACTGAGAAAGTGACTCGGTAAGAAGAACGTGGTAAAATAGACAAATGAAATTATATAAACAGTTAAATCGGTAATCTACTGTCATAACATATAAAAAGCTCCCGCCTGTGAAATATCAACAAAACATTAAAAAAAATAGCTCACACCAAAACCTTCACCGAGTATTCACCAGACAACCCGCTTCCAAGCTGCGCGAACCTATTTCACTGCGCATGTGCTATGAGCGCAGCCCAGCTGTTGAAACCACTTTTCCCTCTTGACGCTTGGGGAAAATTAGTGAATCGTTTGAACTCCCATTTCGCGCGGTTTTTTTCATCGCGTTATTTTTCAACTTTATAAGTTGAATTTGCATTTTTGATGATTTGTTTCGGTAAGTCCATACCGAAAGGTATCAGAATCTGCAAAGTTGTGTTTTACGTTGCATGTGACCTTGTTTAATACTTCCTCTTTACGTGGAAGTCCATACCGAAAGGTATCAGAATCTGCAAAGTTGTGTTTTACGTTGCATGTGACCTTTTTTAATACTTCCTCTTTACGTGGCTTATTAAATACAAAACAATAGTTATACGTTTCATCATGACACTTGACCGTATATATTTCCTCACATACTTAGGCGCCGCAGAGAAGTGTCTCTCACTTGTTCCAGGATCCGCTTATTGTTGGATCGAATCCCAGAAGTGCCTCATTGTGACACTCACTCATTTGATTTCACCAACATCTGAAGCCAAATGTCTTGAAATGAACTTGCAGATATTTGCTCATGTCAGGATTTGTGTTACATAATTCTTTTACTTGCGATCTGGTAGAATCGGCGATGCCACCAAAAGAGATTGCGATCGGATTCTCTACTGGTAAAGAATAATCCATACTACCATTGTACCAGTAGAATGCAATCCGATCCTAAACAGCAAATGAAGATGTTTCGCTCCACATACAAACAACACTCATCTAAAGTCGGCATGTGTTAAGACCCGCGCCTCTTGTCACGTTCAACTGAAGCACCGTGATGGAACTCACATAATGTCCAACGTGGCGACATGCACTTGCTGACACGTGAGTTTTTGGGGCGGTGAGGTAGCCTTGTGGTTAAAGCGTTCGCTCGTCACACCGAAGACCCGAGCTCAATTCCCTACATCTCAACAATGTGTGTCCCCCGCCGTGGTATTGCTGGAATATTGCTAAAAGCGGCTTAAAACCATTGTTTGGGGATTTCTCGGGAAGGACATGGATCATGTACGGCGCTTCTATCAACGTAAATGTGGGTGTGAGGGGATGCATGTTGATATTTACACTGTTGTCATACTATACAGTGGTGACTCCTCGCGGACGCAGACCAAGCTACGAAAATGTGCTACAGTGTGATACTTTTGGGATGATCAGAAGTCTTGTCCTTTCCTTGATATCAATTGTTGCTTCTCTCTGATGTATTAGAGAGTGAGTATGGTTTAAGCCGCTTTTAGCAATATTCCAGCAGTATCACAGCGGGGGACACCAGAACTGGGCTTCACACAAGACTTCTGATTGTACCCATAATGGGGAATCGAACCTGGGTTTTCAGCATGACGAGCGGACGCTTTAACCACTAGGCTACCCCACCGCCCCTCTGATGTATAATCTGAAGGCAATGTAATTTCTGGAAAACCATGATCAGAAATCCCTGATGAAATGATTGTTGATGATGTTGATTGTCCTGGACCACAGTTTCAGGGTGGAAGAGAAGGCCGAAAGGTTTCAAATGGTGTGTCATGCAATTCCCTCGCATAATATAATTATTTGAGAAAAATGTATGGTTTGGCTGTTTCAACAATAGAGCTGGGCACGTCAAAGTGCATTTGACAGACGGTGTCTCGAAGTCTAAGTGTTGAATATCGACATCAGTCATTGTTCAGTGAGGATCCAACCTCAGCCATAAGGATCTATCAAGAACGGCAGCTGATGAGTATGAGATGTGGGCCCAACACTCATATTCTGCAATGGAAGCACCATGGGTAACCCGCAAGAAGCACCGTTAGACAACTATTTTCTTTGATGCTTGTTCTAATGGTAGAGTGAGTGACTTTAGTTTTACGGCGCTTTTAGCAATATTCTAGCAATATCACGGCAGGGGACACCAGAAACGGGCTTCACACACCGTGCTTATGTGAGGAATCGAACCCGGATCTTCGGCGTGACGAGCGGACGCTTTAACCACAAGGCTACCCCCGCCGCCCCTTCTAATGGTAATGGTAAGCCAAAACTGGTATGACAAAACTGAGACAACTTTAGAGCCTTCAAGAGCCGTATTATGTCCCATGATTATTTTCTTTTTATACATAATTGATTAATGAAATATTAAATGAGAAATTTTCAATAAGATCAATCCTTTCCTCAGTTCGTACCGTCGGTAGTTTTTACCTTTTTGCGAGTTTGTGTAAGTACGAGTGTTTGTGTCCAGAAATTTTCTCCCTTTGAAATTGAGGACACACCTGTCCGATAGATGGCGTCGATTACCTGCGCGCCTGACACCTGAGTCAGTCGGTGACTTCAAAATCCAACATGGCGTCGCTCCGTTCTGGCGTCTCTGGCTATACTGGATATAGTGAATCGCAGTCGCAATGGACAGCGCACACGTTGATGTCGCAGTCGATGCTGCCGGCACCAACAGCAGAGGACAGATTAAATGACTTTAAAAAGTTCTGTTACAACCCCGACGATGGGACGGTGATGGGATTCACAGCCGTCCACTGGGGTAGGTGATAAAAACGGAAATGTTTGTAAAACTTTTCAAAATGAAATCCGAGGATTTTATGTGAACGCTTAATCATTTTAAATAATATATAAGATATTTAATAACTCTGGATGGTCGTTTTATTCAAATTTGCATCAAGCTCACCTGTGTACAGGTAAATACAGGTAAACTACAATCACTTCCGGTTTGGATGTTATGATCATGAAGAGGGAATTTCTGGAATTCAACATACTATGGTATCATTTGAACCATCCTAGTCCCACTTACAGTTTCGAAAAAAACACATACTTCACTACATATCATTACTTTCATATTCAATTAGCAATTGACTGTCAACTTGTATCTGAACATTACTGTCTTTAACAAAAATGAGTCAATTAATCCAAAGAGTGCTGTTGACTTCCTACATCAATAAATGGCATGCCTTTGACTACTCAAGTGTCCAAAGGGTTCAAGATTACAGTTTGTTACCAACTCAATTTGCTGATGTTTTTTGCTGTGTTTGATCTTTAATGTTTTGGAGTTTTGTAAATAAAATGCAATAGACATAAAATTATGATTTTTTTCTACTCTGGTATGGAACTCTTGAATAAACAAATGCTTAAAGGGCCACTGATCCAGAGCAATTTCCATGGACTGGTTGTTGCTTTTGTTATTGTTTTTCTCCCGTGAGTACCCGGATGATACACACACATGCCCTGAGTGCGACCTAGGGTATGTTGTCTGTCTCATTACACTTCACGGCAAAAAAAAAATGATTCTGTTGAATGCCACAACAAATAAATAAAAACAAAATGCAAATATTAATATTAAAACAGACTAAAGTTATAGCAACAATATCGGGCTATTACCTTGTTGGGGGAATGTATCCATCAATATCCACATAAAGGAATGAGATGCTATTCATCTGCAGCTGACAAAGTACCCTGTTCCATGTCATGTGTCTTTTAACAGTCTAATATGCAAAAAAGTGATCAATCGTTTCAGGTTTTTCACATAAGTGAATAGTCCCATTGGTTACCCAAGAAAGCACACCTGGCAGCTAGTTGCATGATGTCTGCCATTCTTTAAAAAAGTAATTTAGTTAGCCAATAATGAGCTATCAATCAATGTATTGGCGGTTAATCCTTTGAAGGAAGGACGTTTTTTTACAAAGAAACTTTACGACAGGGTGTATTCAGTATAGATGAGTGAATCTACATACATAAACACTACCTTTTGACAAATCCGCTGTGAAGGGTAAAAGCAATTAATCAATCAGCATGTTATCGGTTAATCCTTTGATCGATGTTTGTTTTGTAACTCAGCTGATAATTCCTCTTGCTACACTTTCATTCGCATATTACATAAGATGTAATACATTTACCACATCAGACCTCAATATATAATGATGAGTATTTACTCCAGCCACAAGAAATGCCGAATGGGAACCTTTGTCGGGTAATCTGAGTGGTGTTATCACTAATTATACCTGTTATGAATTCATTAACTGACCATCAAGACAATGATGACAAATAACATTTGTAGGTTTACCACCAAACAAGGGTTACAGCAAGAGAGTAGTAATCGTTGTATTGCATGCAAGTTATAATGCCTGAAAAAAAAACTTATGGACAGACACTGTTTTGAGGATACGAAGGAAACTTCATTGTTACATAAGAAATATACATAAGCATTTGCTGTGTACTTAGTTAAAAACTGTATATACCTATGTACCTAAGTAAAATTTCAGATTTATTTTGCAATGGCAAAGTGGGGTTGTTTAGTTTATGGATTCAAATATATCAAATGTGTGTTTTTGATATCATAGCATACGTAATAGACATCATATTTTTACATGATTAAATATTGAGGTAAAAACACAGAAATAGGATCAAATTGGATCAGTCACTATACCATCCAAACATTTGAAAATCTGAAAAAGCCTACACTGCTGGGATACTTTATTACAATCAGACAAGAACTACGGGGGATATTTTCAAATAACGGCATCTGATGGGCATCCACCCTTCCTAATGTCCCACTGATTAGGTTGAAGAAATCCTGCCAGGGTGGACAGTAGCCCAGTCCCCCTGTCTGTCACGGTCAAGGGAGCAGAGGCTGACCAGTTTGCAGCTAGGTTTCGTAATTAGACTGTTGGCTGGAAACAATAATTGCTCTGGATCAGTGTCCCTTTAAGATGTTTTACCATGATAGACTTTAGTTATGTGCTGAGCCAAACCCAACCTGAATCTATCCAAATGTACATAAGCAATTTATCTAGCCTCATGTCAGAATGTCGAGTTTTGATTGGTTCGCCTGACTCTGATAAAATACCATGTACACCCATCACGATCCGCGAGCACGGAGTACAAAAGTCATATTATCCCGCCACGCCTCGGTGACCACGCAAAGCAAAAAGAGCGTGCATCGCCAAGCCTTTTGTAACGTGCGCTGCATTGAGGTCAATCGATCAGCTGTTGTCAACATGGCAGCAAGGAAACGTTTTGCCACATCTCACATAAATAAAAACAAGTCAATTCGATGCTTATTGTTTTCTTTTGATTTAGTAAAAACATTCGGCTAGATAAATGCGTTATCACATCGTGTCTCGGGAAATACGTCGTTTTATCAGTCCCTCCTAAGGTTGTATTCCCCAAGCCGGAGGCAACCTTATTCGGGACTGATAAAACCCTGTATTTCCCTCGACACAATGTGATAACTTATGTTCACAGTGAATGAATTTACTGAATTTGGAGGACACATCTTGTCTGCTTTCTCAAAATTTAGTATAGGATGTTCCATTTCATGATTGTATTATGGTTTTATACGAAGACAGATGAAAGGATATTCAGTTGCCAGTCATTCCAGTATGGTAAACCATGGCATGGATGATTAAAGACATACCATGGATTGATTGATTGTTGTTTAATGCCGCACTCAACAATATTCCAACTGTATGGCGACAGTCTGTAAATAATCGAGTCTGGACCAGACAATCCAGTGATCAACAGAATGAGCATCGACCTACGGAATTGGGATATGATGGCATTTGTCAACCAAGTCAGCGAGCCTGACCACTCGATCCCGTTAGTCGCCTCTTACGGCAAGCATGGGTTGCTAAAGACCAGATCTTAACCTGGATGCTAAAGACATACTAAGTAATGTATTTGATTACCTCACACCCATGTTTGTACACCCATTGCACGCGATCATGCTGACAAAGTCCCTACCATCTGTTTCAGTGTTCCGTTTCCTCTACTATCTGGCCTTCTATGTCGCCCTGGGACTATTCTTTGCTGCAAACATGGGCATCTTCTTCGTCATCCTTGACTGGAACTTCCCAACGATGCAGGGAGTAGACAGCCTCCTGAAGGTTCCAGGTAATTGGCCTATTTCATTATATTGTAAATCGTCACCCACTGATTTTGCCGGTTTCAGAAAATGCAACAATAAAAAGTTTCCGGCAAGAACAGTGGCCCAGTAATCATAAATTACTGCACAAAGTTATGTCCCTTGGATGTGCCAGTATCCAATGAAATCAGGTTTAAATCCAAGTTCCAACCTAGTTATGATGCTTGGTTTGTCAGCACTGTGATTGTGGGTGTCTGCAGAGTGAATCCCTCATCAACATGCGTCCATAACAGCACTAAAACACTGTTCAATGTTCAACCTGATCGATGAATCCAGAAAGAACAGTTCTCCCTTAGTCCTGTTAATCTTTTGTGTGTAATTCCGACTGTAACTGGGTATCAGTTGATCTCAGTGGCCATTGAGTGTGGAGAGTGATATGATTAATTTGAACAGATGTGTCTATTTGTGGGCCATCCTATCATGGTTATTTCTATGTGTGCTCACCTTATGGCACCCTGTCAACAACATGGCTGCAGGTATTTTTCAAGAAGTGATGAGTTTGCTACAACATACATAAGGATGTCTACCTGCCATACTGATTTACAAACATAGTTTACTTCATCATGATGAGATTTTTTGTTCTGATTAGGGACTGTTCATAATCATAACGTACGTGTGTGTGTGTGTGTGTGTGCGTGTGCGTGCGTATGCGATGCGTGTGTGTGTGTTTGTGTTTGTTTTTTATGATGATTTTAAGTGGGTGTCACCCAACTTCTTTTTGAGAGCTAGGGGGCATCAATTTTGTACATACATACTTGGGGGTAGGGGGGTCAGCAATTTTGCACATACAAATATGTTTAAAATTATTCTTAGAAACTATCGGGGGGGGTCATTGATTTTGTACATGACATGCAGGGGGGGCACTTATTTTGTACATAAATTTTAGGGGGGTGTCTTTCACATTGGACATGCTTCCCCCCATAAAAATCATCATCACGCCCCCTAGCCATAAATTATGAACGGTCCCTTAGATACATTTCTTCTTCGAAACCTGAAGAATGTTTACTGTGCTATTGTCGGCATTGATTCACATTGATTGCAAAGATCACAACTTCCAAATCCTGGTTGCAGTGAAATGATGCTTGTACATTTAACATGTTTACTTTTGTATGACTATAACCCACACATCTTTTATCTTGACTGCTTTTATACAAGATTCACCTGACATAACATGTGGCAAGTTTGTCAGGTCTTGATGTAGAGCTTTGAGTAAAAGATGTTTGGTTTACATTTCACTGTATCTGTGGTTCATGATGACAGATGACACATGTACTTTCATCAGCAGATTTTCTGCAATTTTACTCATTTACTGTTTAACTAATAAAACTGGCTCCTTTGATCATCTGCTTAATGTTTTGGGTTTTTTGGTTGTTTTTTTTCAATTTGCTTTATTGGCTGTTGAATACTTGAACTTAAAAACTGTACAACACTATGAGATATCTTGGTACACAAGCTGTGGTGGATTCGAGATACCCATGATCACCTCAATGAACACTCACTGTGCAAAGATGGCATTGGTAATGGTCCTTCAAGGATAGTCAAATGTCCTGTAAAATTGATAATATTTACCAGCTATCATATTTGCAAAATGTCCCCATTACTGAAGAGGCCTTGATCATCTGCTTAATGTTGATTTGAAAAGATAACTTCAGACATTATAAAAATATGATTTATAACATAATTATGTGGTAATTAAAATGTTAAAATATTGGCAAAACAATGATTTATTACATCTATATTTGACTGTGTTGCACAAATTCATTATTTGCATGTTAACTAACTTTGTTAATTGTGGAATCAGTATTTTATGTGATTGTTTGCAGGTTTGGGTTTCCGTCCCATGCCTGACTCCATGTCAACGGTGATTCGGTTCGTGAAGGGAGATGCCTCCACATACACCCAGTACCTCGACCATTTAGAAGCATACTTGAGATGTGAGGCAGTCATCTTGAAATTGGCATTTTCTAATTCCAATATTCAGGTTTTGAAAACGTACCAAGCTTAAAGATCGGTTTATTTCTATGAAGTTGCCTTTGGAGTATTTTGATCATTTAAAAAGATAGAAACACTGTACAAGCAAACAATTGCCCATTTGCCTTCCGGATACTTAACATGGAGTTTATGCCATAAATACAATCAGCACCAGAAGAGCCAACAAGAGGTTTAAAAACACACAGTTTACTTTGACCAATTATGTACATATTGTCTGCTGTTCTTATGTTCAGGTTCAGAATTTTTGTCTAAATTCTACAAGATATTTGAGAATGTAATTCAAGAGAAATGATGTGCAACATAACATACAAAGTTTGTTTCTCCGATATTATAAGTGTTTTGTTTGATATCTTGTTGTTTTGTGTGTCAGATTATGAGAACGAGAACCAACAGGGAGAAAATTATAAGGACTGCAGCGAGATCCGAGAGAGGCGGACGACTGAACTTGACAAAGTTTGTCGCTTTGACATCCTGCAGCTTGGTGCCGACTGTGTGAAGCAACAGAACTTCGGGTTTGATGACGGACAACCTTGTATACTGCTCAAACTGAACAAGGTAATGGGCAGTTCATCACCATAGCGAAACATATGTCTTGCCATGTCAGGAAAAGTCGTCGTTTATATCAGTTCAGAAAACTAGTACACATACTGCAGTTATGAAATTTATACCCCAGTGTCCTTGGGCCCTTTGCAGCATGTGAATACAGTTTTGAGAAATTGTGCGAAGAAAATGTTTTGCATGTTCGGTGTAGTATGCTTGTGTATAATAGCCTGTTTGGAGTAAAAATAATTAACTACCCTTGTAATTAGGTGGTACTTGATTAATTCTGATGTGTACATACTACTGGATGCTCTTGGCTTCCTCATGATACTGTGTCATTTTCTGTATGAGGTTTGAGGTTCGGGAGAGTCAAGCATGGCTTTTCCCCAATCAAATTTGACTCTAACAATTTTCAAAACTCTGATTTCAGATTTTTAATTGGGAACCAGAGGAGTTCACCAATGGAACAGTCCCTGATCAGATCCGAGGCACGTGGAGTCAGTGGTCAGTCACGGTGATGTGTGATGGAGAGGTATGTGTGTCACGGACATTAACTTAACCTGGTATCAGCAGACAGACACTTACAATGTGAAACTAAAACAGATCTATTACTGTGATATGGTACATCTTGGTGTGAAGATCTGTGGACACCTGGGGCAGTGGGCAGCTTAGTGGTTAAAGCATTCGCTTGTCAAGCCGAAGACCCGGGTTCGATTCCCCACATGGGTACAATGAGTAAAGCCCATTTCTGGTGTCCCCCTTTCATCCATTATAGTGAGCTGGGTTTCCTTTGAGCATTATTGCAGCTTCATCAGACCAGGTTTGTTTATCAGGGCTAATCTGGGATCGAACCCACACGCGATGGGTCACGGCATACACGGCTCAGGTATTCAGCACATAGCAGCCTCTTACACTACTGGGCCACTGGAACCTGTGAAGATCCGGGTTAGAATTGGTCTTCAGCAACCCATGCTTGTCGTAAGAGGCAACTAACGGGATCAGGTGGTCAGGCTCGCTGACTTGGTTGACACAAGGCATTGTATCCCAATTGCATAGATCAATGCTCATGCTGTTGATCTGTGGATTGTCTTGTCAAGAATTGATTATATACCAGGCCACCACCATATTGCTGGAATATTGCTAAAAGCAGCATAAAACCATGCTCATTCACTCACTGTGGAGACCTCCATGACATTTCTTGTGATTGTATACGGAAGATAATATTTCCACTGAGGAAGTGAGTGCTTTCATCTGCAAGAGAAAACATTGTATTGATGGACCATTTTCCTGTAATCCTTTATTTCTAGAAATTCCTGTTACAACTTCTACAATGCTATAAAAGTAGAGACATACAAAATCACTGTTCCATAAACAAAATTACTTTCAATACCTCATCGGATTTAGTATTCACTGACAGTAGTTGCAGTTATGTGTTATAGCCAAATATAACACGGAAACATTAATCACTGCTTCAGACATTTTCAAGAAATAAAGGCAAATGCTACACTGAAACATTGTTTGCAAACTTTCTCAGTGGAAAGCACTCACTTCCGTTGTAGGTCACCTGCTATATTCAATCACAGGGGGTGTACATGATTGCACTTGAATTTCCCATTTTTGTCTTCCCTACACTCACTCTACAGGTACAATTACGAGTTTTTTTAAATTATAGCGACCTTGCACATGATTGCCTTCTAATGCAAATCTATGGCATGGTTGTCAGATTTTTGTAAAACACTTGAGTTTTAGTACAGGAAATTAACCATAAATGAACTATAAAAAATATTTGCTGTCTTTAATATATGTTGTGAAGGGTAATGTCATCAAAATGTAAAAATATCATTATCAGAGATGAAGTTTAGAAAAGAGCAGGATATAACAGGGATACTGTCCCCAGACAAATTAGCTGGTTAAGCACATGCTGACCACTCAAGTTTAACATCACTAACAGGTGAGCTTCTGTACCTATGTTTTCATTTCAAGCAAACAGAACATTTTCAGTGAGCATAGAAATTATGGTTGTAGTTACTGTTGCATGTTACAAATTATAGGATGAGGCTTCTGTGGAAATACATAAGTTATATTTAAACTTGTCTTATCTCAGTCAGTGTATGTCATCCTGCTTCCATTCAGGTATTGTCTAATCCTAAAACAAGTTTCCAGTTTACAAAAATACCTCACCACAATACATCCCCTGTCATTGCCATAGTCACCGCCATAAACAATGGGTGTGACATGATCACATGACGTCTAAGAGCAAATGTACCCCTCAGTGGGTATGTGAGTCCCATCAATTTCAAGGAATGTTTCATACTACATGGTTTTAATCACAGAAGATATGTTCTTTAATTGTTTGGCTAAACTGGAGCATAATCACCAACCACTGAAGGGATGGTGTTAATCTAGCTAGCGTCCATACAAGATGCAAAAGTACTGTAAGTCCCTGGTATGGTGATCTACCTTCAGTTGCTGGCAATCATTAGCCTGTTTTTATATTGTATTGCTCTCCATAGGGAGATCCCTTTTCAGTTAGCATAGAGCTGGTGTATCTGTGATGTGGGATAGTTGGGTGGGTGATAGGCGCAGGGGCGGATTCAGCTTTTTGAGAAAGGGGGGATGCACACTATTGAGAAAAGGAGGGGTGCACACTTCATTTTCACCCGAGTTTCAATGGTCATTTAACAAACTTTCAGCTCAAAAGGAGGGGTGCGCACCCCTGCACATGCACGCACGCACGCGCGCACGCACACACACACACACACGCACACACACACACACGCACTGGATCCGCCTATGAGGCGTGAGATATCGCTCACAATCGGAGCTCAGTAATCAATCAATAACAGATTGTAATTATGAAGCCCACCACAAAACTCATGTGGCCAATTACGTGACACAATCATAATGAAATGCAGTACAAATGAAACCGGCACTGACTAATATGACGATTGAGGATACTTTCTGTTGAGACAGTATGATGTTTACATGGCAGTGTTACGAGTCGGGGATTTAACAAACATAACAACAAGAAACCTACTTTCTAAAATTTAATTTGATGTTTCTATTTTTATGAATATCACTTAGTCTCCCGATAATCACTGATGCCACATTTTTTGTTTCAGAACCCTGTGGATCGGGAAAGCATGGGACCTTTGACCTATCACCCTCCAAATGGCTTCCACTTTAAGTACTTCCCGTTCCGGAACCAGCAGGGATATCGGTCCCCACTCATGTTCGTGCGGTTTGAGGAACCGCGCCCTGGTGTGTTACTTATGATCACATGCAAAGCCTGGGCAAAAAACATCTATCACAATCGTAATGAGATGGTGGGCCAGGTGCATTTTGAGCTGCTTGTAGACTGAGAACATTGCATCATGGTGATTTTAATCATTTAGAGTTATCTACCCTTGGTTTTAAATGCTGAAGGCCCATCAGTGGCTTGGTGTTCAGCAACATTGATTTTCTGTGGACAGAAATTAAAAGTGAATTGTTCTTAATCTTCAGAAAGTGCTTTGGATTAAGTTTAGGGATGGATTTTGGTAGATTTCTTTGTCAAAAGAATTCATGATGAGCTTTCATAAAACTATTTTGACAGTTTTAGTGGGGAGTATTCCGGCTTGTTCAGACATCCCATTTGTTTAGATCTGTTTTCATCACCAGTCATTTATGAACCAAATATTCATTGTAGATAGTAATGAATGTGACCAACTAAACTGTCCTATCAAAACATATACCCATCCGTCTAAACCCACAAAATTGATTAATAACATTGTACAGTTATTTTTTTACATGAAGCGGAATTTACAGAAGAGCAAAAACAATACCTTCTGTGTGCTTTGTGAATATTGAGTCTACTTTCATGGTTATTTTAAAATAATTCATTCATAATTATGATAATTGAGAAGTTAAGATTTGCCTCATTATCATGATTAAGACAGATTAATAATAATCATGATAATCAGGCTTGTCTACTCGTGTGGATTAGTTTTGTACATGTGATGATCCATTTGTGTACAAATTGGTAGTTGTGGCAGGAATCTATAATTCTGATTAAGATAATACTTCACCTTTTAATTTACGATTGTTGTTATAATAATCAGAATGTCATATTCCTGTGACGATAGAAACAGTGCTTGTAGTCACCAGACATCCATACAGCCTCCATGGTTACCATGGTTACAGCCACTGTGTTGCTAATATCATGGGATAAGATACTGTTACCGTCTGTATCACTGTGGAAATAGTGTGTCACCAGATAAGACCCAGATCACTTAAGTGTATAATTTCACTCTATACTGGGGGCGGTGGGGTGATACGGGTGGATCCAGGATTTTGGTTAGGGGGAAATGCTCCTCAGGGAAAAAAACTTTTTGGGGGAGAAGAGGTGTGCACACACACATCTCTTTCTGGATAAGCCTCTGTGTGACCTAGTGGTCAGAGCGTGCCCTTGTCACACCTAAAACCAGGGTTTGAATCCCCACAATGGCACAATGTGTGGAGCCTATTTCTGGTGTTCCTTGTCGTGATACTGCTTGAATAAATCGAAAGGGGTGTAAAACTACTCGCTCTCTAGTCCCTACAGTGAGTCCCGTTACTGCAGGTGTTTTTGATATGGTGCCATTTACAAGCAACAGCTTGTATTAAACTTGCTCTAATCCCCTGACTCTTCCTTGCTTTACAAAATAAGTCTGCTGTAAATATTTGAAAAATGGTAGTTATTGTTTGTTTTAAATGGCCATGATAATCTCTGGGGGGAAAAAGTGGACATGTTAAAGTGGTACTAATATGGTCAGTTCCTATGCAGTTCTGGTATAGCAAGTGGCAGTGGTAGCCTAGTGGTTAACACGGTTGCTCATTGCACCGAAGACTCAGGTTTCGATTACCAACATTGGTGCAATGTGTGAAGCCCCTGATACCCCTGCCACTATCTTGCTGGAATATTTCTAAAAATTGGGATAAAACCCATCTCACTCACTCACTCACTGGTAGAGCTACTTAAGTGGTGATCGTCTTTATAACATTTGCTGTGTTTGAGCATCAAGTGGCACATGGTTGTGAAAACACTGAGGAGGTGAAAGGATTGTCTGGAGGAGGATTCTCCTAGTCTGTGGGTAGAGGGACTTATTTGATGAGTATATTCAATCAAATCACTGCATCAGTTGATGTTACTGTAAAATGCAGCATGTTCAAGATAACCACTTAGGGTCAAACAAGTGTTGAAACTAGTTCTGTGTTCTTGAAGCTGCTGTTATCTTTGTGGTCTTGTAATGTTAGGATTGTTAAAATTCATTTCTTGCTTTTCATAACTAACAAAAACCTAAATGTCTGCCCGAAATATTGTAATGACTTTAAAGTTTTTACCAGTTCAGCATGTTTTGGCAGTCTGATTTTTGTACAACTTGCCATACCCTACATTGTGTGATATCCGCCCAGAAGTGTCCTGATTTATAAAATACTACAGAAAAAGAATCATCCCTCCACTCAGTTTTGAAAAATGTCAAGGAAAAAAGACATACTTGCAAGATTTGCGAATTGTGTAGTCTACATTGTGAGATTCATTGAATTCCATTCCTTGCAATGTCTTCTAACAAGTGCCTTAAAAGTTGCCTGGTGCGTTTAAGGCCAACTTAAATGAAATGAAACTCTGTTTTGAATTTTATTGCCTTTATTACAATCAATGTTTAAGTCTTTTTTAAAAAGAATTTGCTTATATAGATTTTGAATGTTCTAGGGGTTGACATTTTCAGAAATTACAAAAATTGCCAATGTCTTGCTGTTGTAATGTTATAAATTATATCATAATCAGCAAGTGTATTATCTGAAAACAATTATGGCAGGCTTTCAAATGAACAAACAATGTTCCTGCATTTGCTTAAACAATAATTAAATAATGCATAATTGTTAATGTAATAATACTTTACTCATAATCTGAATATTAACTAGGAGGTTGAGTTAGACTTGATTTTAAGTGAATGATCTATACATATTCTGAATGTTTTTTTAATATAAAATATATTCCACTGGTTTGTCAGGTGCTGACTCTGTGATATTCATGCTCCTGTCCTTTCGCTTGAATATTGCCGAGTCAGGTGTTGGTCAACAAACAAACAATACGTACTAGTAGCTGTGGAAGTATGTTTTAGACTTGTTTCATGACAGTTGTGAAGATAGCTATGTTTCTTCATCATTCGTACATGCCCTTGTTATTACTGCTTGTAATTCGTATATTTTTCATACTATAACTCACTGTATATACAACTGTACCAATCATGAATGTGTGTATATATGCAATTAGCTCTAGGAGTTACCATTCCAATCACAGCAGAAATAAACATATTTGTAAATATTTTATATACATTTAATAATAAACATTTTGTATCAAATTAGTGTTTCTTTTGTGATTTTTTCATTAAGATTTTGAGTGTATGAAACTAAACCAAACCTTCGTCAGGAAAAAATGGTTCAGGCACAATTCTACCACAGTGCCTTGCTGACCAAGTTGAGCTTTTCTTTGCTGTACAGTAGTGTTGGGAATCAGAAACCAAATCCACTATCGATTATTGGAGGATTGTGGTGAACGATTATCGATTATAATCGAAATATATACATTTTCAATGTAATCACCAATTTTAAGGGTTTTTCCCCAGTTTTTTTCTAATTAATTATTTTTATAACTAATGCTGTCATGCTATGAAATGCACTCATGCAAGAAAGACGCTGGAATTGTAATTATTTACGCTGTTGAGCGCATGTTTGTTCATGAATATTCGTCAGATTTGATTGTTACCGGGTAGTTTAATTTATTCAAGGGTGTTTTACAAGGACAACAAACTTCCGATTAATCGAAAATATGTTTTTTTACAATGGATAATCATTTTTAATCCTTTCGATCGATTCTCGATTATTTTCGATCATCGGAACATCACTACTGTACAGGGTTGTGTCCCTTTGGTGTGCCAGGAATTCTTGATCCAAAGTCTCACTCACTCACTCACGCTAGCTTTGACAGTACTACAAGACTTGCGGTTTACCTCCAATATCAAGCTGAATATTGTATGATGGTTCAAATCTGAGTTAAACCTGGTGAAGTGGCTGTGGATATAGCATGGCAGGGCTTCTGCTCTCCGGGCATACACTGTATCCACTAGACCACACGCAGTCTTCCACAATTAGAGTGAGTGAGTGTTTAGTTTTATGCCACACTCAGCAATATTCCAGCTGTATGGCAGCGGTCTGAGTCTGGACCAGACAAACCAGTGATTGATATACCACCAATGGTCCAAGCTGTCTGGGTACGATAAGATGTCATCAACAGATCTCACCCAGCCTAACCACCCCTTAGCCTCAGGAACAGCCCTAGGTTTCTGGGAGCCAATTCACAACCGAATCTGACCAAATAAGACTTGTCCATTTTAACCCTGGTCTCACATCATAAGTCCAATACCATAAAATCACAACTACCATGGTTCTCCGCTATATTGTGCTCCTTACTCCTTATTTTAGGTTGATTATGCTTCTCATGTTGGATGTTATTAGAGTTAAGTTAATTATACTTTGAACAAAAGTGATTTTAAAGCTTCACACTGTCAGCTTTGTGGCATTTTCACCTTTGTCTGCCCTTTCATTAATTTCAAAATGAATATGGTTCCAACCTCTGACGGGTATTCTACTTTATTTATGAATTGGAATAACCACATGTTGCAATAGTTAAATTAAAACAATATTCAAAGCTAAATTAGAATAAACTCATTAACTCATTTTGTGAGGAAAGAATTTGTCACTTATGGTAGAACTATCCTACCTTGAACTTTGCTCCATGCCTCAGGATGTCTGGTGCCAGGAATCGGAGTGCAGTCTTGAATCGCCCCTGAACATAGTGTGCGAAATGGCCACTGGCCCACTAGCCCGTGGCTAGTAAAAATCCAGTCGGGCCAGTAAAACTCCACAGTCACTGGCCCCCTTAATTTCCATGGGGTCATTTTTTTAATATACTAGTATCACTCTCTCTGACTTGTTAATTAAGTTATAATACACTTTTAAATCATGCAAGATTATGGCCTGGTAAATAATGGCATTTTACCTTATCGCAATCTTCAGCATAGTTTCTTGATTCAAATTTCGGGCTAGTGAATTATTTTGTGGTCAAGTAACTTTCAGGCATAGCTAGCCCGACTGGCTAGCAAAATTTGGAAACACTGCCTGAACATACCAGGATCGGAAACTGATGGATTCGTATCCTTGTTGGTTGGTTGGTTGGTTGGTTGGTTGTTTGTGGGTACTCTTCAACAACAGGGCTGTTCCCACTTTCATTGTAGGGATGTGGAAACACCACCTAGGTGCACTCAAACCATTATTAATGTGTTTCACAACTGGGAGGACACCGTTGTTCAAAGCCGTACTCCGCAATATTCCAGCTTTATGGCGGTGGTCTGTAAATAATCGAGTCTGGACAGTGATCAACAGAATGAGCATCGATCTACGCAGTTGGGATACGATGACATGTGTCAACCAAGTCAGCGAGCCTGACCACCGGATCCCGTTCAGTCTAAGTAAACTTAGGCTCAATATTGTTCGTTACCTCAGTATAGCATTGTAACGAATAATACTGAGCCTAAGTTTACTTAGACTGGGATCCCGTTAGTCGTCTCTTAAGACCGTGAAGCATGGGTTGCCGAAGACCAATTCTAACCCGGATCTTCACGGGTTACTTGTAGTCTGTCTCACAGTCCCTGAACCACATTAATTTCCCTACTGCCAAGACCTCTCTGCTGTGCTAAAGCCCCAAATAAAGCAAGTCTAGATTTCCTCAGGTTCTGAATCTCTGGTCTCCCTAGGGCTCCTTTTCAATATAAATGGGCTTGTTTGTTACTATCAAATTATATATATTCAGAGACAAAGCCTTAGTCTAGGGTTACTTGCCTTGGTATCAATTTGGCCATGCTCTCCTGTGATACATCGGGATTTCCGTCCGCATTTAAGTTGATGGCGATAACTGACACACCCACACAAAGTGAATGAGTATGATTTTACGCCGCTTTTTCATTAATTTTATTTTTTTAGTCAATATTAAAAATAATGCCGCAGGGGTACACCAAAAATGGGCACCAAACATTGGAGCCATACATGGAATTGAGCCTTGGTCATCTTCACCGCCCCCCTAACACAAAGTGATGTACCCATCCTTCCCTCAAAATTTGCACCAGCACCAAACAAATACCTTGGTAGTATTCCTGTTTTTCTACTGATTGTTTTCATTGTCCATGCATGTATTGTGACGTACAAAGTGTGATAACGTTTTGGAAACACGAGGATAAGAGGATTATCAGAAAACCAGGGATTTTACGATGGTTGCGAGGCGGGGTGGATTGTCTCCCCTTGACCAGTACGTCTTTTCACATTTTAGAGTGACTATTTGTTGAGGTCACCGATATCATCACGAAATAAGATCATGAAAAATCGTGAAATAGATTTACAGCTCCTTTATTGAAAAGTGTGTACTTCAACCAGCAAAATGCTTGCTGTGTTCAAAAGGCAAAAAGCTTTTGGATGAATATTTCATCCTCGGTAATATTTTTTATGGATACAAATTTCATAAATAAATGTTATGTTAATATACCGTTTTTTCCAAAAGTAGTAGTAATATTTTTTATGGATACAAATTTCATAAATAAATGTTATGTTAATATACCGTTTTTTCCAAAAGTAGTAGTAGTAGTAGGAGGAGGAGGAGGGGAGGAGGGGAAGCAGCAGCATCTGTAGAAGTCGTAATAGAGTTGTGACTGAGTTAGTGAGTCAGAATGTGAGTGAGTTTAGTTTTACGCCGCACTCAGCAATATTCCAGCTATATGGCGGCGGTCTGTACATAATCGAGTTTGGACAGACAATCCAGTGATCAACAGCATGAGCATCGATCTGCGCAATTGGGAACCGATGACATGTGTCAAACAAGTCAGCGAGCCTGACCACCCGATCCAGTTAGTCGCCCCTTACGACAAGCATGGGTTACTGAAAATCAATATTCTTACCCGGATCTTCACGGGTCGAGTCAGAATGTAGCGTAGAGACGGCGGTGTTTGCGGCGATGGTGTTAGGGACAGAGATTAGCTGATTACTGATTACATCAGTTATAAGCACATACATCATCCAAAATGGTTCCCCCGTGCACATCATGGAAAACATGTTTTATCTTTTGAAACATACCGAACTGCAATTAACAACTGACAGACAGGTTCAATCACAAATACCATCGATAGTGACTTGTAGTATATGAATGTTGACTGAAGATTTATGAGGTGGATTCACGATGAAACGGTAATTTCTACTCGAAGCTTGAGGTGTCGGGATCGAGCCCACCTTTGACCGGGTGTAAAAACCTTGGATTCAACTTCGCGTGCAGACTCTTTCCGTGTTGTCACAACCCCTAGTGTTCAGTACACAAGCCTGTGCACTTAAAAGAACCCACAAATCCGTTGGTATATGACCAGATGGTGGCCACATGAATACGTGCAAACACCTACTTGCAACGTGCAGTAAACGTGGACGAAATACTGTGACTATGTATACCCAGTCCACCCAGCTGTGAATGGGTACCTCGTAAGGATGGGAAAGCCACATTAACTCGGTGCAGCAAGAGTTGTATGATCCCCAGGGAGATGATATTGATAATACATTGTGCCGTTTGAGACTGGCATCCAATGATCGAGGGAGAAACAAAGCGCCTTTGAGCAGGTGATCTGTATATTGGTGATATTGTTTAGCAGTATATTGTAAGGGACTTAGTTTTTATCTGGATATTACCCGACTCAAAGCATCCATCGCGAAAATAATAGCGTCTTTTCTGACCATATCCTACACAAACAATGTTTCTTTCTTTTTGCTGTGTTAGGATATACATGTAATTAAGCCCCTGGGACTAAGTGGAAATAGTAACGTGCAAGTATGTGAGCAGGTAGAGACAGAATAATGTCTTTTTGAAATGTATTTGATACTTTTGAAATGAAAAATATTTAATATACATGTACTGTATTTCATATATGGTGTGTGAGAAAAAAAACAGAACTAATGCAGGTGGTTTTGTTGACACCTACAAGTGAGGTGCTGAAACACCATGAGTTTTCGTGCAGGTCCAAGGGACGCAACTCTTCACAGACTGATAAGACGCGCGTGCTTCGAAGACTAACATGTAGACACTGAAATAAAGTCATCCTATTTGAAACATATATATCTTAACAAAACATAAAGTGAAAAATAGAATAAAAGCCAAACTAAATCTTCGTCAGGGCAGTTAATGGAAGACCTAGGGCTTCTGCAAATGATAATGCCCTCAAAAATAGCATTACCCTTATATTATTCAACCATTCTAGACTTGAATTGCACTCCTTCCTGAAGGTACGCCCACGGGTCAGCATGACATACAAAGTTTGAAACGTACCTCCTAACAGTGTTACATGTAATTGGTTTGTATTCACAGGCGAATACGCACTCACTCACGTATGCACAGTGCACACAGTCCCTAAACAATATTCAGATGTTTAGCATAGTTGTGATATGCAATTGAGATGTAACATGGGACAAGGTTTGGGCTATATATATAGCACTTGTGTCTGTATTGTGACAGATCGGAAATAAACGACATGTTTATGCCTATCATAAATGTCAATCAGTAACACGATCGATAATTAACACCGGCCGTGACCCATGACCCCAATATTGACCTGCCTCGCCACGGTTCAGTCTACATGGTTACACAACCCTCACGATAGCAGTAATAAATGGTCAACACGCAATGTTATATAATCAGACACAAACCCGTTCTGTTGTCTCTGTGGTGTTATTTGTGGAGATCAAGCTATGTAGTGTGTGCTGATGACCCGATTAATGCAACCGAGGAATTGGTAACCCTAAAATAAGCGAGTATAGGTTTTCCTCGGGTTCTCAAGCCATCGATGTTCCTTTTCAATTTAAATGGCGTTTTCCGTTTCTATTAAAATTAAGTAGCGTTTGCCGTAACGCAAAAGCCCTATGAATTAAGCAAGTATAGATTTTCCTCAGGTTCTGAGCTCACCAGGGTCCCTTTTCAATTTAAATGGCGTTTTTTAAATCAAAAATACATTTTCTTTCAGAGAATACGCGTTTGTAGCAATGTTTGTTCTTCAATGGTTGTTGTGGCATCTTAAAGTTCACATGAAACGTAAAACACAACTTTGCAGATTCTGATACCTTTCGGTGTGGACTTACCGAAACAAATCATCAAAAATGCAAATTCAACTTATAACTTATACCGGCGGCGGTACAACAATAGAGGTGTTGATAATTTGGGACTATATGACATGTAAATGACTTGAAATTGGACAGGTATACTATTTACTTACGAACTTAAAACACTCAAGCAGAGGGTTGTATCAGCACACCACCTCCTACTGTACACAAGGCAGCATGCATCTACAAACAATGATAATAAGAGTTTTTGATTCCATATATGTTTCTATATTTATTGATATTATCGGAATGATATTGATTAGATTTTTAAAGTTGTGGGTATGCATGTTATTTTCTTCTCTTTTCTCGTTTTAATGCACGTTGTAATAAACACGTTGTAATTCCAAGTTGTAATACAAGCTTTAAAACACGTAATCACGTGGTGGCGCGTGGTCCTGTGCTCAAAGCTCAAAGCTCAGGTCACAAAACGGTGAAGTTAAGCAGCGTCGAGCTCGGAGAGTCCTTGGATGGGTGACCGTGTTTGGCAGCTTGACTCCTGAGAGTTTCTAGGACTTGAGTCCTGCCCCACAACGAAGCACATGTGACACACGTGGTTTCACCTTAGGTCTCACCCAGCAGGAAAATGGGTACCCGGTGGAAAAAGTTATATGATTATAACCTTCTAGCGCCTAACAGGCAGTTTGGGCTATCCGGGGTAATAATGTGCTGTGCCTTGATTGTTAGCGCTATGAGCATACCTAGTGTGGAGTTTGGCGCTATATAAATGGACACATTATTATTTTTATTATTATTATAAACACACAACAAATACAAAGTCGCTCTCCAAAATTGACCCCAAAACAAAGGTGTAAAAGTATACTATTTTCCTTGTGCCTGTGTTTGTATGTCAGATCAAACGATTGTTTGACATATTATACCGAATTACGTAATTTCGCATCACAGTGCTCAGTGTGTCTTGGGGCCATTTGCGGACATCAAATGGACAGGTATTGTCTAAACGTAAGTACACATTTGACAGCCATTGACCATGGCCTTGAGGTATCCAGGTTCAGTTGTCACGGACTTGAGAGTCGAAGAATACAACTGCATCCAAACCTGTTTCGCATACTTGTATGAAAAGGAATAGAATTAATTTTAAGCATATTTGTGTCTAACTGTAACGCATGAAGTTTAACAACAACAACAACAAAAAAAAAATCACTCCAAGACTTCACAGTGCTACTTTCAGTTATATGTGACCATATTATTCCACCGGACTGTCTAAATGTATGTATATACACGGATATTGTCTTCATGTAATAATAATGTCAGGATCCATTGTGCTAGCTGCTATGACATTGTCTTACAATAATGATCTCAATGATATTGTAATCTGAAACAAAGTTTTGGACAAAACCAAATTGTACACGTTTGTAATAAACATTACCATATATATTTATGATTCAATTTTTGGTTTTATTTGATATTTTATTGCTGACTCCTTGTTACAGGTGGGGACAAGGAGCCAGAGAATTCATTGCCCTCTTGGAGAACACACACACACACACACACACACACACACCAAATATAATGAAGGATTCAGAGTTTTTATAAGATACAACTGTCACACACATGCATACTAAATGTACACTCAGTATAAACATGCAATACAAAAGATTCACATGAATAGTGATAATAAGCTGCTGGTGACAATACACACCTGCATATCAAGTAAAGCTTAGATACAATGTTTCACTTTTATTCACACTTGACCAACAAATATGACAAATATACCAACCATTATAATATAACATTATAAAAGATATATCGAAATAATACGGATTATATAAATCGGATAATGATATGCATTTTTAGAATTTTATACTACACTAACTACAGGTACTAAAACTGATCATCATTATTATACATCGAAATAATACGGAAAGTATATTTTTCAAATCGGATGATGATATGCATTTTTTTATTTTTATACTACAAATACAAAAACTGATAATAATTATTATCAAGGTTTCTAAGATGCCTAGCGGTTAGAACAATCGAAAAAAACCCAAACATTATCAGACATTATAGCTAAAATACATGGAATTATCATGAAACGGCCCTCCTGTTATCAGAAATTTGCGGTCCGCTGCAAATGATATTGGACTGCTCAACCTTAACGACGGGCCACTATCAGTTCTGTTGTCAAGTGACGTCATAGTTCGACATTAGTGGCTTTCGACTGGCAGATATTCTGGGTCAAACAAGTCAAAGCAACCCGAATTCCCCGCTTTAAATAGCGGTAATATTGGCTTTCTTGTTGGTGCTAACCTTAACAATTGCACTATTAAGACTGTTGATGGACCAAAACCGAACACTGTCATAGCTTGACATGTTGCAGGCTATGGTCTTGTCAAAGGCCAAGGTCGAATATCGTCACTTTCTGTTGTGACGTCACTTGAATTGTTCGATGACGTAATTGCATTCGGGCAGTCAAGCCCGTCAAAAGTTGATTTGGGTAAACTTACAGTCAAATTCCTTCATTGTTTCCTTTTTCTTTTCAACACAAATTCCATGTATTTTAGCAATAATAACGGTAATCCTATTTTTGAGGGCATTATCATTTGCAGAAGCCCTCGGTCTTTATCAACTGCCCTCCTTCGTCGGGCAGTTAATTGAAGACCTCTGGCTTCTGCAAATGATAATGCCCTCAAAAATAGCATTACCCTTATAATAAAGGTATAGTTTTTTGATGACGTAACAATTGAATGACGTTATCCCGTCACTGCGCCATTCTAGTGTGCCCCCTCGTAATCGAACCATTTTACATTACGTCACAATGTAAGCGACGTCACGATGCATGTCAGTTGTCATCGCCTCGTACGGCCTCCTACAGTAAACTACTCCGTTGCATCACGCAGCTAACATCACTGGTGGACACATTACGTTTATGTTTTACGACGGTTAAAATGTGTCAATTCGACTCACAAATTTTCAGCGACACGGTTACGTTCGCAATGTTTACATCCCACAATGCAATCGTGGAATGTCGCTTGACTACTCAGCTTCGTCTGAATGTACTGATCTAAACGTACGTTGGTAGTAGAAATGCGACGTTCATATTGCCCCATATGGTTTACGTTAATGACAGATGTAATTAAAATAATTCAGAGAAGATATTTAATCCGAGCGTAAACCATCATCAAACAGCGCGCCAGTTAGCCCTGTGCGAGGATTCTTCATTTAGGTCACCGACACCGTCGTTTGTTTTCTACCTTAAATTAATCGTAATTATCCTTAGAAAGTATTATATTTGGCATCTTAGAAAAGAAATGCAGTTCGCTCTACCACCATGTATAGTGTAGCGAACTGTATTTCTTAACTCATTTCTGACGTTTATTTTCCCTTTGACCTGTATCGCTCTAATTCTATCTTCACACAACAATTACAATCAATTACGTATTAGGGCGCGATGTTTGGTAATATTTCTTTATACTGTCCGAAACGGTGCGATTGGCTGAGGAGGGTAAACGAAGGACGGAGTCAACGCGCACCTAATTGAAATATGCTAATATTGCCTAAGGCCGGTGTCACGTGACCGTGACGACAACCAGAAGAAAAGTAGCGACTGGTATCGCCTTGCGCATCCATCATCCGGGTCTTCGTCAAGGTTAGATCTCTCTCCTTGCTCTGCGTTCATCATGGCGGAAAACAAACTTACGGTTAAGCAGAAATTTACCAATTTCTGTACGTTTCTTTACAATTCTGAAACAGGTGAAGTCCTAGGAAGATCTGGCAGGAATTGGGGTAAGTGTATAGTATTTTCTTGTCCAGTTTGTCCTCGAAAACAGGAGCGATCAGCACCCCCCGTGCATGTTTGGTCGGCTTCTGTTCAGACATAGCATTATTAAACAAATACGAAATGCTATACGTTTTCCTTTTAAAAGCGATATATTGCATTTAAGAGTGTTATTCTGATTGTTTGAATTTCTTGCTATTGTTTGAGCGTACAGCCCCAGAAATGATGTATAGAGATAATGACTAGAAAGAGAAATTTTCCATGGGCATGTAACATCGGTGCTAGTTTCGTTGCAACTGGTAATAAATAGGTTTCTTATCAAGATCATCTGTCGGAATTACTCGTGTCATTTACTCGTGGTGTTGTGATATTAGGCAGTGACTTTGTAGCCGTTATTATATGACATGGTACCAGTGTTTCAGATTGATTGGATAGGGTATCAGATGCATGACCTTTCACGATATTGCTTTGTAGTTGTGTCCCTCCAATCACCACCACCATGAATCGCCAGTACTATGTTTCCAAAAAATGTGAGCCCAGAATTTAACCCATCAAAGGCAATAACATGATGAGTAATGGGTTACTTGATCCCTGAAAGTTTCCAAACCAGATTGCAGTTTAATGCACTTTCTACAGTCCTAAGTAATTGTATAAGTCTTATAAGTAACTGGCATATAAGGTATATGAGTGTTGAATAAAGCTTTTGATAATAATTTCTTTGTTTAGTGTTCATTTAAGAAATGATCGCCAAATCATCTATATTAACAAACATGTTTTGGGTTATTGATTTGCAATGAATGTGATAAAAAGTTCCTGATGTTAATGGCCAGTTAACTCCACCCTTTCTGCAAGAATAGCTGCATTTCCCTGGTCAAAGTGGTATTTTAGGATGCTTGCAATTCACAGTTATTTAAAATCTTTCGATATTTGGCGAAGCCAATAAGTTTTAATAGTTCTTAGCTTTAATTGAATTTTGCTCACGAAGATAAGTTGTTAGGCAAATAGTATTATGCTAATATGCATGCTCCATGGAACAAGCTGTATGCCCCGAGAGCGTCTTTGCGGGAGCATTGGTGAACGTTAGGATGAGGACAATTCACTGTCATGTCAGGTTAATGCCTGTGGTCAAATGGTCTCAGGTCACCCTGACGAGAAATGTAGGTCAAATGCGGACTCGCACCTGGCCATATTTGCTCTCGGGAATGGGGGTCCCCGAATTGTTACCCATGCAGCACAATTTGTTGGTTTACTTTTACTGTTTGGCAATTTGAAATAGGGAAACTGGAAAATATTTGTTTCATGAGCTTTTAACAGAATGTGTTTAGGAAGCTTCAAGTAAATGACAGTTTAAGCATTTTCACTGTGAGTTCAAGAAATGTCTTTGTTCTGCGAACAGGAAAGAGTGAAATCAGTCTTTTCATTCAAATGTAACCTTACTGTCAGTCTTTTTAAATGAATAATTAAGAAGTAAAATCATTGTATGCAGTAAGAGCAGTAGATTGCCTTTGTTTCATATGTTGTGACCCCAGGATAATTGAACTTGGTTGTTTTGCTAAGCATGTTGGCGCTTGCAGTGATCAATAATTCCATAGAAATCAATAAAAGTGTAATGACTCCTGTTACTTGCTTGACGAGGGTTCCATTCAGTCATGGGTAGGGCAATAATCTTATTTCAAGGTTATAAGGGAGGCTGAAAATTCAAAATGCTGTAGACAAATGATTATGACTGTTTTTGCTGAAACTTATGTTATTCATCCTGCTCTTCTGTTTGAATGTATCAGTGTAATTTGGGAAATTTGCTATTAACATCATATTTGCAGGTCCTATGGTCGTACAGTATGATTTATGGAATAGGTATTTTTGGCATGTGTGTCCCAAAATAGCCTCTCTTGACATTGTGAATGTCACTTGGTGCACCCTAACTTTTATTTCAGTGATGATTGTATTTTCTCAAAGTGTCTGCTGGGAATGAAGCTGTTTTCCGAGTTTGTCTGTTGCCTGTTTGATTATATTGATTTCAGAAGATCCATGACAGAGATCGTGTTGTTACTATGGTTTCATGGTGTATGGACAGCACTGAGTTACAAGTTCAGTGCAAACAGATTTCCATTAGCAGATCAATGACATAAACCATTTTGAAGTTTCTTCTTCACTAATTTGTAGAACCATTTATGGATGAGATTTACTGGTTGAAGTGGGTTTTTTAAAGGACAAATAGCTTTTGTACAATTTTAAGCTTTTCATTCTATACCTGAAATTTCACAATATTTTTACAATGAAAAGATGAAATTCAGTTTGAAAATTATCTTGGGAACATTTACTAATTCTTCCCTGAAATGTATCCGTTAATAATGTCACTCCTTTATGAGCAAAATCCTGCAGAACAGATATTAACTCTAAAAAGTTGTCCTGTAATTATTCCCACAATTTGAATGGTATGACCGCTTTCACGGCTTATCAGTTAAGCTGTTTTCCTTGTCATTGAGATAGCCCCATTGTGAAATTCTTGGCATTTTAAAATTGAGCTTACAAACCTGTTCAGCAATCATTACATTGAATGATGTAACATTTCCCAACAGGTTCCAGGTAATGCCCTTGATATCAGGTGTCAATGGCTTGAAACTGTTATGTAATCTTATGTCAGCTCATGTAGGGAAACCTGTTTGTAATTGCCCATGGCAAGAGGAGCCTTGATAAGGAAAGTCCATGTGACATTCACGGTTCAGTGGCCAAGGAGAAAAGGTTATTACCTTTGTCACAGCCTACGAGCACACTTAACTAATGGGTTAATGTTCTACTCCTAGCAGGAAACGTGAAGGACAAACCTAGTGCTCCAGAAATCATGAGATTGTTGCTAGTGTTTAGAATTACAAGCAACTCGTGCAGTCTTTGTAAATCTGATATGAAAAAAACCCAACCGATTTAGTATGTCCCAATACAGCAGTATGAAGCAACCCATGACCTCCCTTACAATCCATGAATGGTTGCCAAACCTATTACTTTGATAAAGCATGTCACTAAAAACATTCAGACATTGAGCCAATCAAGCAGTCACATAAAACCTCTTTATCAAGATTTGGTATATTTGGCCCTAACTAGGGATAACAATTTATTGATAGGCCATAGGTCAGTAACTACTTGTGCATTACTTATTAGAATTGACATGTGGCACCAGTGATACAACTTGACTCAACAAGTCACCCATTCGGATATCACACCATTTACCAAGATAAACTTCAGTGTCACTTCATAAAAAAAAGATTCTCCACATGGGTACCATTTCTGGTGTCCCCCGGTGTGATATTGCTGGAATATTGCTAAAAGTGGTGTAAAACCCAACTCACTCACTCACTCACTCATAAAAACACACATAAAAAGCGATGATAAATTAGATCATTGCATTTGTACAGAACATATGTCACTATACATCTAGAATAGTGGGGATTGTGTTGTCATACAGTCTTGAAGGGTCTTTGATGAAGAATATTGTTCGTGAAAAACACCATTTAGAGGTAGTGGAAGCTGCAGTGGCTGAGTGGGTTAGATTGCTGACTTGTGCTGGCAATAAGATGCCAGACTGAGTGTGGGTTGATGTTGATTACCAGGTGATATTATCGGATGCCAGTCATGCAAATGGTTGTTTTCTCTTGCAGGAGAGATCACTATATTCTACATAATCTACTACATCTGTCTTGCGGGCTTCTTTGCGGCTTGCTATGCTGTCTTCATCACGACACTGGATGAGCATTTCCCCAGACTGATCCATGAAGATAGTTTAATTAGAGGAAATCCAGGTAATGTAAATTTTAGAATTTGAATTTGGAAGTAGTTTGAAAATCAAACGATCTTGTCAGTGTTTTGTTTACATTGACACTTGTTAATAATATTTTGTGCTGTTTTGATATGATTAAGTACCGTAGGTCAACTGTAACAACACTTCCTAATTCAAAGTACAGGTGATTTAATCCATACTTCTACCATTGAGTTGCACCTTAATTTTGTGAGAAAAGTGATAAGCTAATGTGAAGTAAGTACTTACTCAGTTACTGTACCATATATTTTAGGGTACAAGAATACCATGGAGTATGGCTGTTTTGGTTTTTTCTGTTTAGTAACTTTTTCTCACCAAGCCCAGCAGACAAGTCATATTTATGAGGATTTTCATAACTCTTGGATATTACCTGTAGACTATGTGGTAGTGTTGCCATTTGTTCATGGAATGTATGTCTTTGCTCCCTTCTGTGATGACGATTTATTACCTGCCTGAGATTTAAAGATATAATTATTTTCAGGAATGGGATTCCGGCCTATGCCAGACCTCGCAACAACTTTAATCCGTTATGAGATGGCTGATGAAAAAAGTTACAAACCATATGTAGATCACATCAATGAATACCTGGATAAAAGTGAGTAGCCAAGCTTTTGTCAATAAAACGTCTATTTTCAGATTTGCTGACATTCTTAAAATCTGACAATAAATCAGGGATTGGGATAGAGACCATTGACAATGGGCCATTTTCAGGATTATTAGCCATTTTCTGAATTTAGAATTGGCCACTGCCCTTGTATCAATAGTAAACTTCAAAATTTTAACGGGCCATTTTTTATTCTAATGTGGAAAATGGCCCATGGCCCCTGCCTTTCCCAATCCCTGATAAATTCAAGCAGAACGTGTTAAGAATTGGTTGTAAAATCCTGATAAAACATCCCAACTAATTGATCATCGAGGTTAATTGTCTGGTATCATATTGCAATTGTTCATAAATGTGAAAAATGTAGGAAGACATGTCACAGCTCGGAAAACAACCTAAAGTAATGCACCTTGTCACAAATCTTCTGTCTTGAACCAATTCCTCTTTGTATTTAATTTTTCCTGAGCATTACAGAATTGCAAGATTTTAAGTCGCATGACTCAGTCGTGTAAATTTATGCCAGGGTCTCCTTCCCAAATTGGTTACTGTCTGCATGAAATGAAATACATCTGTAGTTAGTAGTGGTGCTGAAAGCATAGTGCTGTTTGTTTGCAACTTGACATTTTGGCCTTGGTTTTTCTGAGAATGGATATTTACGTCAGTAAACTACTTTGAAATTGTCAGTCAAAGGGAGCTGTACTTTAGCATCTTGCTCTTTCAGTGCCTGTTTTGTTCAGTTCATTACATTTTACTGTTAGTAAAAAGATATTTGAGTGGTAACAGTTTTGTGCCTCTTTCAAACTGTCTACAGATCCAGGTTAGATGTAATGCCTTGTTACTATATTTAGCTCATTATATATATTATTGTTATTTCCTGGACTGAATATTTTGGCTGGAAAGTGTGGTTACTATTCATTCTTGAATAAGGCCGCCATATAGCTGGAATAATGCTGAGTGCTGTGTTAAACAACAATCAAGCAATCTTGAATAAGATCAGATGGTGTTGACAAACAATCTGTTTGTAGATCACAGAAATGCATAATAATTGTTATGCTTTGTTTGTAGATCACAGAAATGCCAGTAGTGACTTGGTTGATTGTCCTGATGGAGTGCCTCGCCCTGAGGAGACTACAGCCTGCACAGTTGACCTCAATACTACACTAGCTAGATGTGGAGATGACTTTGGATTCAAAGATGGGAAACCTTGCATTCTGCTCAAGTTAAACAAGGTAAAATTACGCAGTTATTTTAGTTTCAGTACCCAGCATGTTGGTTCATTAGTTAATGCTCCCAGGAATGTTTAGAGTAACATGTTTTATTAATGGGTATTTTGTCCTGATTTACTCGAGAATTGTACAGATTTCATCACCAGTATTTTTCTGAATTTGGTGACGTGTGTGTATGTGCATAATATATCCCTAAAAAATAAGCCAATTCACATTGAGTGTTTTTTATTCAGGTATTTGACTGGTTTCCTGAGCCCTTTGAGGCTGACAGTCTGCCCGATAACATGCCCCAGAGCCTTAAGGATAGATATGACCAGACCCGTGTTTGGGTCACTTGTGAGGGAGAGGTGAGTAATTTCTTGCTACCACTTGAAGGTGTTTGTGCAGAGACCACAGCAGGTTCTCCAGACTAGTTTAAGGTTAAGGGACAAGCGTTCTGATGGCAGGTATTAGTCTGGATCACCTCAGGGACTCAGACGCATCCTCAAGTTGACAGCCAAGGTCAAAGTCCCAAAATTCGAATTTATTGTTATTAAATTTATTTGATGTTCTGGCATCATAGATTTGACATGTATTTAACTGAGCCTGTTGATACCAGGACCAATAAAGAAAAAGTCCATAATTCTATGATCTACATTAATATGTTCAATGCAGTGTTACACTTCTACTACTGAAAATAAGAACTAGAGGATGTACAGAACATTTAGAAAAATCTATTTTGAACCAAAAGGGGGAGTTTTCCCAACAAAGGGCACAAAGTACTTTAAAATCCCTTGGTAATTACTAATTACCAAATACAGGTATTACCATTTTTGTGTATGTCCATTTGTTTAACATTGGTTTCATTCTAGTTTATTTGTTTTTCAGAACCCTGGTGATAACGAGAACCTGGGTGAGATAGAGTACCTGCCCCAACAAGGCTTTGACATGAAATACTACCCCTACAAGAACCAGAAGGACTACCTTTCGCCTCTGTTATTTCTCCGTCTCGCCAATATTAACCCAAATGTTGGGATGCTTATAGAATGCAAAGCCTGGGCAAGGAACATCTGGCACGATAGGACAGACAGACAGGGCAGCATTCACTTCGAAATCATCGTGGATTAATGTTTGGACTTGTTAAATAATAGGCATTTATCAATTTGGGAATACTCTATGGGACAAAGTCATATCATGAAGGCCTGATCCTTAATATATATATTCATTGACAGTGTTAAAAAGGGGAGGTTAACAGTGCTGTTTGTTCAGATGTAAAGTATTAATGAAGTGTAGCACTGTTTTAAAGTTTGATGGAAGGTCAGTCTATGTAAATATGGCTTTCGTCCAAAAGGTTTTGTATTAAAATCCCTCCGCTCCTTAGGACTGGAAAAATTAACTCCAGTAATAACTTAAACCAGCATAAGAAATACACCTTGGATGTCAAATATGAAATTGTTACCAAATGTGATAAAGAAAATAATAATTAAATCTTATTAAACATTGTTAAAACTTTGTGTGAATGATGTTTATAATTTTAACTAATTGTATAAGATTTTAGATGTTGCAGAATAGATATCTAATGCTTTATGTAAAAATGTGTAAATAGAAGATTGTTAGCATTATGAGATTCTTTCTTTTTCGTCCAGATCTCTTTTTTTTTCATTATTGGTTGTTAGAAATATATGCTTCTATGCTATTAGAAACAGGACATTTTGTGTGTCCATTACATTATTCTGAACTTGACAGTGTAGAGAAAATGTCATTAAACAGAGATGCCATCTTATGACAATCTGAAAAAAGTTGTTAATTGTGTGATAGATTCAGTTTCATAATTTTGTAGATAAAAATGTTGTAGATAAATAGATATATTGTCTATCATATAATCTGGAATGTAAGCTGACTAGAAATGGAGTGCCTTATGAAGCAAGTTGTATATTCTATTTGGCATTCAATGTAATTTAATCTTTAAATTTAAATAGTGGAATTGATTCATAAGGCATTCCATACAGTTGTTACTTTTTAGGATAAGCCAATGGTTTTGTCTGAGAGTGTTCATTGTGCAAATGTGATGTTGATTGACAAGGTGTTCCTTGTTGGTGAAGTTTACAAGTGAAGGTAATCCTACAACTGGTAGGGCTCCCATCATTGTATGTGGCACATTGTGTGAATGGTTAAGTATGCAAGACAATTCACGCATAGGCTGGCTTTTGGATATATAGCGGAAACACCTATGGAGTTGGTATGTGTTTGACAAGGAATAATGTTTAAAAGTGTGATTTGGTTCAGTCTTTGGAAGGAAAATATGCATGCTGGTAAATCATCTTTTGCATTGAAGATTTGATTGCACTCTTAACTGATTTCTGAAAGAGCGCCTGATAATCAGTTCAACCCACAGTGCAAAAAGTGTATGTATAAATGTGTATCTCAATAAGGCGCGAATCCTGATGGTTGAAATCGACCATCGCTTATTTCACCATTTGTCAGCACATTCCCATATAGGTAGATATATGTATGTGTGTGATATCTTAGGACATTCTATTCAGGGAGGAATCTTGATTTGAACATATTCACCAAACAATTTTGGTGAGGCATAACATTGTTATCACATGCGACATAAGTCTTTGACAATACATCTGAGGAGTATATACCCAAAGTATTGCCATCTCTATACAGATGAAGGTAGTGTTGAGAAATGTATGTGCCATAGTTGGAATCAGTAGTTTGATGGAAACTCAATCAAATGAATATTTCTCCATTGCCTCATTTATTTGTTATGATCACTTGTAAGAAGCAAATATTGGGAGCCATTTTTAGAAACGGGTTGGAACCCTTGTTTGGCCAAGACGTTTGTCTGACTATCACCAGTACTATGCATTTCTACATTCACATTGTCGGATTTTAATATTTTTGTCTTTTTATGGCAATGTTCACTGTGGTCGTTTTAGATTCCTGCAAATGCTACAATGAATTCAACAGGCCATATAGGTTGTAAGTGCAAGATTATCACAGGATGATTGGGTTGTTAGACCTGCATGGCATTTCTTCAATAATTTGTGTCACATTCTTCACATATTCAGAACAATTTGCATGTACTTATTTCCAAATTTTTAAACTACATCACGGTTCATTTCTTTTTATCTCTTTGTATATGTCTGTTTTAACATCAGTTTCAAATTATCCCTTCAGACATAAATACTTAGCTGTCCTAATTTAAGTATCACACCTCACAGGGAAAGATATTTCTTCTGTGAGGTGTGATTTGTCGTTAGCTTTTAGTTCTGTACACCACTGTAGAATGTTAACCAGATGTCTGTGAAACGGAATAAAATTTTGTTTTAATACACCTGAGCTCTTGTTTTTATTATGATCAGTTTCGAAATGGTTCTGCCAGATTTCTGAATCTACATGTTGGATTGACGTTGACGTTGCACTTATAGCAATATTCAAGTAATGTCAGTGCTGTCAACAAGTGTGAGTGATCAATAGGAGCAGATCCTCCACGAGGTCTGGGTGTGATATGGTTGTTTAACGCCACACCCAGCAAAATTCCAACAATATGGCGGAGGTCTGTAAATAATCGAGTCTGGCCCAAGCGATCCAGTGTTCAACATCACGATCAACGCATTTGGGATATGATGCCGTGTCAACCAGGTCAGCGAGCCTGACCAACCGATGCCGTTTGTCGCCTCTTACGACAGGCATGGGTTGCTGAAGACCAATTCTGATCCGGATCTTCACGGGTGGCTGTGATATGGTTGGTAACCATAGCCTTTTGTTACGTTTTGACTTTTCACATGTTTAAATACTGCAGTAGGGCTGAATGAGTGAAAAAGACAGGTTTTAAATGTAACGTGAAAGATCCAAGTATGAGCCATTCTGTAATGGGATGCATGGTATATCAGTTTAAAAACCTTCGTTCCCCACACCGAAGACCCGGGTTCGATTCCCAACATGGGTACCATGTGCGAAGCCCATTTCTGGTGTCCCCCGCCGTGATTTTGCTGGAATATCGCTAAAAGCGGTGTAAAGACATATTCACTCATACACCTTTGCCTTGATGCTGGAAGACAAGGAGGTGTTTTGAAATTGGCCCAATTTCTACACGAGAGAAGTATTGTCGCTGCCTGTGACACAAGACAACATTCGAAGTTGTATTTATTCTTATCATGACTCGCGTCCACTTCAGGTGTAACATTCACTCATGATCAAAACATATAGGTTAAACTGAAGTGTTGTGTATTTACAGCAATGAAATATGGTCTTACAACATAGACACAATACGACGGGTAAATAATCTATTTCTGGCCATGGGTCTCTGGTATTAAGCCTGCTCGACATTAGTGGGGCGGTGGGGTAGCCTAATGGTTAAGCGTTCGCACGTCACGTCGAAGACCCGGGTTCGACCCCCAACATTGGCACAATGTGTGATCTACAGTATATGTGATCTAAAAATGTTACTCTGCATTGTCAAATATGGTACACGCCGACCTAAGAAAGTGTAGTCCGAAATATAACATGTTACATTTAACCACTTTCTAAATGGCATGGTGAATAATAGCTTTCGGCCGTGGGAGCAGTGCCAATTTATACTTACCAGAGGTGTATACAAAGTCCGTGGTCTAAACTACAAGTTGTAGTAGACTGTTGTACGACACCCATTTTGTGGAAGCCGTAGTGGCTGGTTTGGCATACTCTGTGCGCTGGCTGTTATAGGTGCCTGACTCTGAGAAGTGGGTTCGAATCCCCCGGTGGGACTCAACACAACCACAACCCAAAAGCACTAGAATATGTACTTTACTAAGAAAATGTAATCCCAAATATAGCATATGGTAAGATACCAACCTAGTTCTCAATGTGCATGAATATGAACCCCTGTGCACGTGCAATCGGTGACAGCTTATGCAATGACTGACAGCCCGTGATAACGTGCACGTCGATTGGCGTGAGAACGCACAAGCGGTGAAATTCGTGCATTTCGAGAAAGCGGCTTGAAATTCAGTCATCGGTCTACATACACAATATGACCCAAGGTGGGCGCCACCACAGAGGTTCACAGAAATATTAGAATAACTTACTGTATATCAACGGAGTTCAATAATTAGTTCAACTGTAGTCACCGTCGGTCATTCATTCGCCAGGCATCTTATGATTGGGTTCGATTTCCCAAATGTTTAGACTGTAAGGTCACTACCAGGTCACAACAAATTGATTACTTGTTGTCGTATTTGAGAGCTGGGGCTTCCTGAATAGACCGCCAATCGTCCATGTGGCATCGATCTCTCACCTTGTTATGGTAGTTGTTGTTGATGTTGTGTAGATAACAACCTGAAGTTATTATACAACAACAATTAATTAAACACTCAAGGTCCTGGCTTCACTCCCCAAACCGATTTCGAGACTTGTAGTCGGATAGAATCGGGCTCGGTTCGATTGTTGAGAGAACATACATTAAGAATATGGATACCCACACAGAAAACTCAGCAGTCCAATTATTTTCAATCGTATAAAGTACGATTTAATATATTTAAGAAAAGAGAAACAAATATCATTTCTTGGTATGCAAGGCAACTTTACAAAAAAAATACAAAGAGATTTCCATGCACAGGGGTGAGTCACGCTTAGAAACAGCGTTAGAAAGACATATAGGTATATAGTCCCTACCCTATAGTACTATATAATACCTATATGTCTTTCTAACGCTTATATACCTAAGCGTGACACACCAATGTTTCCAGCGTGACACACCCCTGTGTTTCCATGCCTATATTTCTCCTGATTCGAAAACATTTGGGGGGAATAGTCACGTGACAAAGAACGCCCTTTTACACAAGGTCAATGGTCGATTGGTTTTCTCTGCAGTGGTAATTTCACCGTTGCATACGCAAGCTTCTTCAGAAGAAAAAATATAAGTATAAAGTAAACGAGCGAATATTGTTTAGCGCCGCAACCAACAATATCCCAGCAACATAACGGCGAACTGTCCGGACCAGACAAACCATTGCTTCATGCCTGATTATCGTTTCGTCGGCTCTGACCTCAATGTCTGGGTGCTGGGGAACCGTTCCTGTCCCTAAACACTCACACAAACATGTAGTAGTGAGTGAGTTTAGTTTAACGCTGCTTTTAACAATATTCCAGCAATATCACGGCGGGGGACACCAGGAATGGGCTTCACATGTGGGGGAATCGAACCCGGATCTTCGGCGTGACGAGCGAATGCCTTAACCACTAGGCTACCCCACCGCCCCCAGAAACTGCCACACATGCACTATTAACTTGCATGGGCTGTATCTGTCAGGGACTGTATAACAGACTTCAGGACTGACTTGCACAAAGCGATGTTAGCGCCACAATGGTTGTAACTACCATTCTCCAACATAGTCTAAGGCAGTCGTAGCGCTAAGATCGCTTTGTGCAAGTGGGCCCTGGACACACAGAAGAGCTGTTCCCTCCTTCGTATTCCGTCTACCTTCGATTGAATCACTCCTCTCTTGTTTTGAAATACGACACTCTGTTATTGAACCACATCTCATTCACTGAATCACGTATGTTTCTCTGCTAATGAACCATATCTCTCTGCTGTTAAATCATGTATGACTCTCTCACACTGATGCCTCTCTTTAACTTGGTCATGCCTTTCTTTCATTCAATCACGTATCCCTTGGATTCAATCAAACCGTGATAATCATGCCCCTCTGTCACCCCATTAAAACCATACTCATTCACTCTTTATTGAATCACACCTGTGCTACTGAATCACGCCTCTGTTACTGAATCATGTATCTCTTGTATTGAATCATGTTGCTCATGATATTGACCCATGCCCTCTGTTACTGAATCACATCTCAGTTACTGAATCATGTTGATCATGATATTGACCCATGCCCTCTGTTACTGAATCACATCTCAGTTACTGAATCATGTTGATCATGATATTGACCCATGCCCTCTGTTACTGAATCACATCTCAGTTACTGAATCACGCCTCTCTGCAACTGAATCATGTATCTCATGCATTGAATCATGTTGCTCATTTTACGGAACCACGTCCCCTCATTTGCAGAGTCTTACTCTTCCAGTTACTTTATGTGTACCACAGTTTCTATGACACAGAAACTTGTCTATCGTATACTGGACCCGTCAGAACCGGGTCGGAATTGGTCTTCAGGAACCCATGCTTGTCGTAAAAGGCCACTAACGGGATCGGGTGGTCAGGTTGACACATGTCATCGCATCCCAAATGTGTAGAACGATGCCCATACTGTTGATCACAGGATTGTCTGGTCCAGGCTCGATTATTTACAGACCGGCGCGATATAGCTGTAATATTGCTGAGTGCGGCGTTAAACAACAAACCAACCAACTGTCTCATATCAAACCAATTCTCTCACTGAATACGCCCCATATCATTATTATTTTTACGAGTCGGTCTGGTATTTAATCACGTCTCTGATATCGGGTATATTCTCTCTGATACTTTTCAGACCCCGTACAGTTTTCTCCGTCGGACTTCGCGTAAAATCGCTCATTCATACAAGTGAAATCCATCCAGTAATGTAAACTGAATGTGTAATACGCAAACACATCCTTGTCATTGCATATGATACCATAGACAGTCATAACACACAATTACCCAAGAATCGGCGTGTCTACGGGGCACATATCGACAGCAAGTATATTTATGGCATACTTAATGTAAGTCCTACGTGTCGTAAATACATAAAACACCGAAAATACACCTCCTCAACCTAACAGCTTACAACCAGGCATCACGCCTCCTGAAGAACGGTTGCTGGTCACGTGGCTCAGGTATGGCAAGCTGGTTTTGAGGTCAGAGAAAAGAATAGAGGGCATCGCTTGCTAGATGCCACGTCACTGAAGGCGGACCGACTCGCCCGTCTTCGCCACCGGGAGCAAAATTCACGTCATGACGGGGTTCGGGGTGGGTTGCTGGGAGGGGGTGGTGCTAGGGAGATAGAGGGTGGGGGCTGACCCATATCTTGCAGCGTCTGTACGCAAGGCTAATTTGTTTGTTACCCTGATTTAGGGCAGAAGAGATTTACGTTGTGGCCCTTAGCGTGTATGACAAATCGTCTGACCGGGTTGATGATGACTGACGACAGTACCCTGTGAGTCAATCTTCTACTTTCTTATTCATATTCAGGGCTACCATATTTGTCGGCGCAGGAGTGGTCGAGGATAATGAATCGTGTTCAGGTCCCACACTATCGCTCGAAGGATTTGTGTCACCTGGACAGATTCTCACATACATGTCCAGTGATATGAGTGTCACGATGTGAGATTAGCTTGGACAATTTGACCATTTGCTTCATCCGGCTCTTGATACATACAATGACTGCGTTAAATTAGACATGCGACCATGGGAATATGCGCGATCTCCCATTACAAAGCAACGGAAGTATAAATATTAATACTGCGAATTACCGCGCGTGTAAGATGAGATGCTATGAACTCATCACCGATTCACATTATCATGTAAGGCCCAAATGCGGACTGAATATAACACAGGTTAGCCAATGCACGGCAAGTTAGTACATCAAAGTAACAATTACCAACTTCTTATGCCCTCGAAAATGCTGGTAGGTCAGCTCGAGGGAACACGCGATCGGCAATAAACGCAGCACAGGTGATATATGCAGATATACAAAGGTGCACCGTCTCCTCAATCTCAGTTTCGGACCCGCTCGATTTATAACATGGTCACATGGTAGCATAAGGGCTCTATGACAGCCGACGTACAGGCTATACTGTATGCCAGTATATGGCCGATGGGTGACCGTTCATTCACTGTACATGTACAATATTGCACAATATTGGACACGGTATATGATTTAGACAACACAAAGACGCCCTCGCACAGTTATCGTATTCATATACATGTATACTGGTATAATGGTACTCAGTGAGCGCACATTTAGAGCGCCGTTATCCCCAAAACGACGCTGAAATCGTCGTGTTATTTATAATGTCACGAATATTTTCAACAAATGTTTGTAAGAACAAACAAAGGTAGGGATCATGAATGTTTCGGGGTATAGATTTTATGAAATTCTGCGATCTGTCTTCACTGCAAAAAACGATCCACCGAACTAAACTTGTTGTTAAGTGTAGTTAACTCTGGTGTGTCATATGATCGGGTTAAAGTTCACTAATATCACACCCTCTGGCGGATGAACACAAAGATGTCATACTCGTTTCGTTAAATGAAGATGTCATAATCTGTATAGATTATATTGCATGTAGGTCATGGATTACACATACCAGATGCAGCCAATAGTAGTTAGTTAGTTAGTTAGTGTGTTAGTGTGTGTGTGTGTGTTAGTGTGTTAGTGTGTTAGTGTGTGTGTGTGTGTGTGTGCAACAGATAGGAGTCTTAACCCACAACCTTAAGTCACAACGTGAGCTCCTCACAGCGTCACAGCTGTTACGTCACAATGACACTTAACGTCAAGTCTGACAGCGACGCCTTTGATTGATGGTGATATGTAGATCTGTACATGACAATGGTGATTCACAGTGCTCTCAGCACAGCCGAGCACAATTTAACCCCCTTGTTTAAGCTAGAGGCAGACTTACCTCAGGTTCTACGCATAACTCATTGTTGCAAACTAACAGCCAAATACATTGTCACCGCGGGGGACATCCGTAGGTATCTAATGGTTATGTGAACCGTAAGTCTGAGTGAAATTGACGGAATTGTCCACGAATAGATACACAGTGGGGCAGGTTTATGACTAAACATGACCAAATGACTTTTTTCAGTTTCGTGAACCGATGACTTTCTTCAGTTATTGCCGTTGATACTTTAAAAAAACTGACCTTACATCGAGTTGAACTTGTATCTTAGCAAAATTCCAAGTACATGTCGATGGTTTGTACATTATCGAGTCTTGAAAAAACCCGTACAATCTAGTGATCGACAGCATGAGCATCGATCCACATAACTGGGACACGATGTTGCTGGGGACATATTAGTCTGTCTCACAGTCCCTGAACCACATTATTTCCCCTACTGCCAAGCCCTCTCTGCAGTGCTAAAGCCCTAAATAAAGCAAGTCTAGATTTCCTCAGGTTCAGGTTCTGAATCTCTGGTGTCCCTAGCTGGGGCTCGTTTTCAATTTAAATGGGCTTGTTTGTTACTATCAAAATTATATATATTCAGAGACTAAGCGTTAGTCTAGGGACATATAGTCTTACACGGAATCCCCTTGCGTTCGTTCTCCAGTGGTATTGGGGAGGTTTGGGTAGCCTAGTGGTAAACGGTTCGCCCCTCACGCCGAAGTCCCTGGTTCGATTCCCAACAAGGGTAAAATGTGCGAAGTCCGTTTCTGGGGTCTCCCACCGTGATATTGTTGATATATTGCCAGGAAAAGCAATATCCTAAAATAAATAACCGAGGACAGTTTCTTGCAGGCATAGTGAATAAAACTGTCCCCAAATCCTATTTAAAAACAAGCAAAAAATGTAAATCTGGTAAAATACCACGTAGTGAAATATTAACGTCCGCCTCGTGCATGACCCTTCGACCGTCTGTTAACTTGATCCAAACAGAGAAAAACATTAATCTGATGAGGAAAACGTTGGGGGATGACGGTCTGTTTCAAACTGTGCTATTCTCGGGCTTTCTCGCTGATTGGTTTCCGTTCGCCTGTGTCATTTTGACTTTGCACTTCTGTCTGAAAGAAAGGTTTTGTGAACTCCATGCACTTCATGCCCAGAATTAGTTATACGAGGGCGAGTGTAGGTAACGGTGATACATTTCCTCGTCTGAATAATGAGAGGCTCTCGTTGGATACGATGGGTGTCCGCCATCTTCAAATCACTGTCTGGTTGAATGAATGGGGTACTAGGATAAGCTGCGAATAATGTTCTGCTGACCAAAGTCCAAATTCGCGTATTATGGAGCATTTCTCATTCTCAATACACCGGGGTCATTATTCACATGAATCTACCGTACGTGTGAAACGAGCGTTCGAGATGATTGTCACAGATTGCTCGCTTTGGACTTCAAGGATATACGACTCGTACTGGAACCGGAAACCATCCAACCGGTTTGAGAATCGATCTACTACATGATCCAGGGGGCGTTACGGCTATGTTATGATCTTCATCCATATTGTCCAACAAATAACCATTAAGGAGGTATATTATACGAAATGATAGCGGGCGGGTGACTGGGTGTTGTTTACAGACCGTCGATCAGCTATGCCAAGGTCACCTGTAGATGATCGAATCTGGTCCAAACAAACCAGTGACGATGAAATTCCGTCCATGCCATCGTAGCAGGATGATGTGCAAGAATCAGCCGAGTCACGGAGTCTGACCACCCAATCCACTTTAACCGCCAGGACAAGGTTCCTAAGTGGTGTTTTGTGATGCTATGTTGTATAGTATGTGTGGTCGAAATGGCCCTGTCATTGTTATTCCAGTTCTCTCTCGTCGGCCTGTAGATAGTCGAGTCTGGACCGGACAAACCAGTGATTACTGTGGTACAATGACACGTAATCAGACTGGATACTAGGTACCACCTTGAACATCATGGTTTCGCCTTCTATGAAATACAATGCATTCAGTGGGTCTGGTCCATAACACGAAGGGGCGGGGGGTAGCCAAGTGGTTAAAGCTTTCGCTCATCACCCCAAAGACCCGGGTTCTATTCCCCACATGGGTACACTGTGTGAAGCCCATTGCTGGAATATTTCTAAAAGTGGCGTAAAAGCCCAACTCACTCACTCCATAACACGAGTGTCCACAGTCAAACAACAATGCAAAAACCTACCAGTATTTCGCCGAGTATATTACAAAAATAAAGACAAAAACTAAATTGTCATGGTCCAGATACGTCGCTATAAGCTGCGTCTTCTGCTGACGGCTACTCAGGTCACACAGGCAGATAACACTGAACCTGAAGCGGGGTCGATACTGTCAGCCTTGTCTAGGAAATCAGCCGCGCTTGGAATAACTCCCAATGGTCGCCTGCACCCTAGACTCGGGAGCATATACATTGTACTCTGAAGGGAATCCAGCTAAAGTCTAGAACGACAGGAAAGTCAAGAATTCTTTGGCTTCAGTTAAAATTGTTTTGAGCTCCTTTTTCAATTATTTTTATTATTAATAATGATTATCATTGTAGATAAATATTTCTTAAAAGCCGTGGGACTAAATGGCAGTGTAACTCGATGGGTGTAATACGCTATGCTTGGACGAGTGAGTGAGTGAGGTTTTATGACGATTTTAGAAATATAAATACGGAGGACGTTAAAATGGTTCTGACGTTAATAATAAATTTATTCTGATTCACACTGAGCCCATCGGAGAGGAGGGCGATCGCTTTAACAATTTGACTTCCCCACAGACCCATGCTTGGGGACCCATCAAACTTGTGCATATATGTTGTTGACTGTTTGTTCATCCCGTAATCCGATAATTGCTCTTCATGCTATCAGTCGGTATTTATTGTTAATCACCGCGGATATACCTTCACTGCGTCCTAATGCAATGTTAAACAAGCATTCGTGCACTCTCTCCCGTTCATTTGAGAAGATGGTTATTGATAAAACCAAAGCCGACAACATCATATGATAAACATCAGTGAAACCAAAGAGCTCGCCCGGCTGATAAAGCAAATATACCAGTTGAGCTAACAACCCACTGGGTCGGGTCAAGGGCATAACTTCTAAAGTCAACTGTTCTGCTAAACTATCGCCACTCAAGCCTCCATTGCTAACGGTCACGGACCATGGGCTGTAAACAACTGCCTGCTGCAGGCGACTAAGCACACCCCGGGGTCACGCTGATACTTGTCAGTCCCTAAGCCCATGCAGGGCCATGGCGGAAAGGGAAGATGTCAACGCCGAGACGACGTACAGGAATTTATTGTTCTAGTATGAATTCGCTTTCTAACCATCAAGTCAAAGCGCACCTTCACAGGTGCGTTACTGAAGCTTCGAAAGTATACTCATGGAAACGAATAAGGGAACACATGAAAGTACAAGTTTTCCGTTATTTATTTCAAGAATTTCGCCCACAGTGCAATACAAAGCTTGTGAAGAAACCTGGAAAAAAATAAAAGAACACTGTATTACCATAGAATATATATTTTTGTGCAACTGTGTGCCATACTATAGGTGATATACCATCATGCTTCAGTATCTCTAGACTAACGCTTAGCCTCTAAAAATGCACAGAGACCATATACCGGTATATGGTCTCTGAAATGCACGTTAGATAGAAATAAATAGCTCCTTTTTTGTGAAAAAGAAACCCAGTGAGATGGACGATTCAGAACCTTATGAAAATCCGGACTCTGAATATTTGTATTTGTAATGGAAACAGATGACTCTGTCTGGAAGTTAAAAAAACCCGAGGAAAATCTAGACTTGCTTCATTTAGGGCATTTGCATTGCATAGGGATGGGCAATATTTACTATGCCCTCGTTATGCACTAACTCTATACGTAAGTCGATACGTGAAAATAAACTGCAGTGGGTGAAATGAAGTTATGGACACAATTATTGATTAGAAGATGCAATGAGGCTTGTCATCCTTACAACATAGACAGTATCTTAATAAACAATCACATTCTCAACTCTTCTCAAAAGTCTTTTCATATTGCTCATTGCGTGGTATCCGCCAAACTCACAGACACGGAATGTACATATAGATCTGTAGATGTTGGTTGCTGTAGTCTGTTTCACAGCCCCTGAACCACATTATTTCCCCACTACCTTGCCCTCCGCGCACTGCTAAATCTTAATGAAGAAAGTCTAGATTTCCTCAAGTTCAGGAATTTTCCATCTTACTTGGACTCTTCTTCAGTTTAACTAGGATTATTGTTACTAAAACTAAGACTAAGTGTTAGTCTAATAGATCTGCGACAGCCAGCTCTGACTGGGATACAATGCCGATTTGGGGATATATATCCCAGTTGTTATGATATATACACCAGATGTTGTGATATATACCCCAGGCATACAACATACATTGTAACCGGCGTGTCAGGAACGGTATGTCTGGAATGAGTGAGTGAACAATATGTCAGTCATATCATGGTGAATCAGCTTGGCGGGAGAGTGAAACCGGAGCTAGCGGATGCAGGTACTACGCGCTTACCACGATGAAACTCACTATTGCCATGGCTCGGATAAACATAATGAAACATAAGTATGACGTAAGCCATTTTGGAATTCGAACCAAGGATCACCGGATTTCAGGGTCTGTATAAACTGACACTTCCCAAAAAGAGTGAGTGAGTTTAGTTTTACGCCGCTTTTAGCAATATTCTAGCAGTATCACGGCGGGGGACACCAGAAATGGGCTTCACACATTGTACCTATGAGGGGAATAGAACCCGGGCCTTCGGCGTGACGAGCGACCGCTTTAACCACTAGGCTACCCCACCGTCCCTCCCAGAAAGAACATGATATTATTTGAAAATACATATATTAAACAATAATATAAATACAATCCATAAGTATAGAAAAGACTAAGTATTAATTTCAGATTTGCCAAATCATTATAGACCTGAGCTGAACACGTTCTAATATATATTCTCTCGGGTCTGGGAGACAGTCTGTCATACAGACGCTGAAACAAATTTATCCAAGAAAGCCCATACATGTCTAGAATATGTGGCAGGTCTAGATTTCCACAGTCACAAAGTCTCTGGGCTCCCTTTCATTATATTTTATGATTGTCATTTAGGAACTGTTTCTTTCTGTAAAATATGTTCATTTCGGGTACTATGTGTTAGACTGGGTGACAGTCTATTGGCTACCATCTCCTCTCCAGCTACACGCAGTTGAGAGAGTTTCGGGGAGATGTTGTCGTCTGCCATGTTCGCGTCACATTACACGACAGTATACGACAGCGAAAAACAACGAGATGTAGGTAACGCCTTGGGCATAAACGTTTTGACCTCTAGAAATCATTCCCCGGAGCTGTAAGTCCACCATAAATCCTTGTGACTCTCTAGTGCTACTTGATGTAAGACGTCTTACTTCGCAGGATTGTTTGACCGCTAAAAGACCTTTGGTTGATCGACCGAGAATCGACCGAGATGTAGGCCTACAGATGAATAAACGACGAGGAAATTCCAAACAAATATGATGTCCAAAGAACAATTAAAACTGACAATGTAATACAACAAGCATGAGGACGATGAAAGATTTTAAACATTAACTGGTTTTGTCCAATGGTGAATGCGTATTGAAGTACGCGAAGAGAATGCGTATTTTCAATGTACGTACCAGTCAAACAATACAGCCCCGATCAATATGACTGTACAGAAGGCGAAACGACAAGTGATGTGTAATGCATGTACTTCTCCGAACATACTGCTCTCCGTATCCGTTCACAACCAAACTGTCATCTTTTAATCATGAGCTCAAATTATTGGTTACGTTGTAACTGTTTATATGTGCCACGTTAGCTATAGGAATGCTTTCGCTTATCACCAATATTACAGCAGAGCCACCCGGGTGTCTATGTATACTCTAGTGTTATATTTTCAAACCGGTGATCGAAAGCATGAACACCTACTACAATTAATATTGTTGGGACACGAAGTTATATACACAGTCGGCCATACAATATTGATTGACAATCAGAGTGACTGCATGAGTGAGCGGGTTACGCCGCTTTTAGCAATATTCCAGCAATATCACGGCGGGGGACGCCAGAAATGAGCTTCACACATTGTGGAATCGAACCCGGGCCTTCAGCGTCACGAGCGGACGCTTTAACCACTAGGCTACCCCACCGCCCCGATGGACAATTAGAGCACTGATGGAGTTGTTATGTGTGGTATCGGTGGCGGTTTTTCTTCACTTTTTCTGTTTACTGACGTAATGATGATATCAAAACGCCGTAGCTGTTCTTTCACACGGAACCGCCTCCGTGGTGTAGTGGTTAGAGCGTACGCCCAGAGAGCGGAAGGTCGCGGGTTCGATCTCCGACCGCGTCATACCAAAAGACGTTAAAATATTGTACTTGTTGGTCCCTGCCTGGCGCTCGGCATTAATGGGTACATCAAGGACTGGTCGGCTCGGAGTCAGTATAATGTGTCTGAGTGGGTTATTCATGCTTCACTGTTGCATGGTATCTCAGTGGGCTAGCACTATAAAACCAGCTTCAGTCTGGGCTAGTACAAGCAGCCGCACATACACATACACACGCATGCACGTCGTCATATGAGCGAAATATTCTCAAGCACGACGTTAAACCCAATTTCACCTCACCTCACCTCTTTCACCCGGAGGGACGGTGGGGTAGCCTAGTGGTTAAAGCGTCGCTCGTCACGCTGAAGACCCGGGTTCGAATTCCCACATGTGCACAATGTGTGAAGCCCATTTCTGGTGTCGTGCTATTGCTGGAATATTGCTAAACGCGGCGTAAAACTAAACTCACTCACTTTCACCCGGATATCATATAGGCAGTAGCTCATTACCTTCTCTATACACTGTCTGCAAGTCGAATTCCTATACTATATCGTATTGAGCTTAACCACCATATGTAACCGAGGCACACATACAATTCTATATCATGATAGCATATAAAGAGCTTATGTACCTGATAATACGTGTGCTTGCATGTACAGTGCTACTTATCGCCCTGGCGAATGGGCTATAAATACATAGAACAACATACTGCTGGTGTATACCAAACCGAATTATTAACATTTGACTGGGCACTTCACGATCAAAGCATGACCATGTTTATACCACGCGATTAGCAAAGCGACTGTTGAAAACATGTTCGAAATTATTGTAAAAGATTTTCAAAACTCTGTATGTTTATTGTCCATGAAGTGAGAAATGTTGTTGCGTTGACTCAGTGCGTGAATAGCCCATACAAAGCGGATATGTGCAAGACCCCTCGGAGCAGAACGCTTTCAGCAAGACGATTCCCGGACAACCCACAGTCAGGGTCGGTAGTAGAAACCAGTGCAGGTCATTGCACTGGCGGCTTATTCGGTATGACTTGTTCGGACCATTCTGGATTAAGCAAATACATCCATATATATGGCAACCGCGGCACAAAAAATCCCATAACGATCGGCATGAAAATCGAAGCAGACGATCGCCTCCCAGCACTAAAATCTTCCCACAGTGCATAAATATGATGTCATGTCATGGTATATATTATATATCACACGGCGTGTAGATTTAGCTCCCCGTGGTCGTCATACACTGCGTCAGCGAAAAACGCAAATGCTCGCTTGTTCTGGCCAAAACCTAAGCGGTAGCTTCTGAAAATACGCCGTTCAGGTACACTATTAATTTCATTCAAGGTAAACGGGGTCATATGAATGCGTCGGTTGTGACGTCACGCGCCGCAATCGATGCGTGCTCTCGCCCAGCCTGTTAGGTTGTACTAGTCGATAAAAGTCACAACGGTATTTCGAAATACATTACTGAGCGAGATTTACCAATTCCGCAACGATTTCAGTCGTGATTTCGAAATAATTTCGTCATAACGTATTTGGAAACGACTCTAGTGTACAGTTTACATATACCTTATGTAAGAAAAAAAACAGAAAGCAGACATTCCAATCAAAATGTGCATAAAATTAACCTCCAAGGTCATATGAAAATATATGCTTGCGAATAACATTACTGGCCTCATGATTATGTATATTTATGCTAAGATGCCAAAATGTACACATTTAAACACTAACAACAACAATTCACAAAACAGACCCACAATCAACGTATAAAATTTTGTTTTTAAAATTAAATTATATGTCATATATTAAAGATCACACACACGATTTAATAAGAATGAACAAAACACAAGAAAACATGGCAAAATACTCCATTATCTTTTGAATATAGCCAGAGCAGTGATTTTTAAATTAACAAAACCCAAGTTGAATTTTCATAATTCAACTTTTTCTGTTAATGAAAAATGAAAAGTGGAATTGTACAAAAACACTTGTTCTCAAATGTTAAAACAAACTTGATTGGAAGGGATGAAGAAGTGGTGTAAGCACACAATAGTGATATATATTACCGTAAATGTCGACCTGTGATGGAGTTTAGTTTTAATCCGCACTCAGCAATATTCCAGCTATATGACGGTAGTCTGTAAATAATCGAGTCTGGACCAGACAATCCAGTGATCAACAGCATGAGCATCGATCTACGCAATTGGGATACGATGACATGCGTCAACCGAGTCAGCGACCAGCAGATCCAGTATAAACATGCGGTCGACAATGACAGAGCTTCCAGTGTCAGTCCAGTTGCATGATATTATCGTAATGATGTAACTAACACCCCCCCCACCAAAACAATCGAGTCTGGACCAATCCAGTGATCAACAGTATGAACATCGATCTGCGCAATTGGGAACCGATGACATGTGTCAACCGAGTCAGCGAGCCTGACCACCCGACCCCGTTAGTAGCCTCTAACGACAAGCATAGTCGCCTTTTGTGGCAAGCATGGGTTGCTGAAGACCTATTCCACCCCGGATCTTCACGGGTCAAACATGCTGAGACCTCAAATACTCTTCAGTTCATTTATATATCAATCTACCATAAACACTTTAAAGTCCTTTGATATTTTCAATTTTAACATACGTTATATTTGGGATTGCACTTTCTTAGTAAAGTACAAATTCTAGTACTTTTGGGGGTTGAGTTCCATCCGGGATTCGAACCCACACCCTCAGAGTCAGGCACCTAATCGCCAGCACACAAAGTCAGCCTGACTCTGAGGGTGTGGGTTCGAATCCCGCATAGAACTCAACCCCAAAAAGTACTAGAATTTGTACTTTACTTCGAAAGTGCAATCCCAAATATAACATATTTACATTTGACCACTTTCTAGATGGCATTGTGTAATCGTATTTTCAATTTTGTTTTTCTTTTATTGACTTTTCTAAACTAACAAGTTTTGTTTTGTGTTTTAGAGTGACGCAAATACCTCTCTCTCTACCTGGTTTATTAAAACTATACTGGTCGTAAGAGGAGATGAACGTGATCCGGCTCAGTGATACGATTGATTATGTGTTGTGATTTCGAAATAATTTCATCATAGCGTATTTCGAAACGAGGCTAAAGAACTTAAGTTCATAGTGGGTAAAGAAAAAATGAAAATATATATAATTTGTGAAAGGTAAACCACACACACACACACACACTCTCTCTCTCCCTCTCTCTCTCCATCCAGACACAAAGATATATTCTTAAGATTAACTTCTATATCGTATAGAAACAGATGACACAATCGTGATAATACTTTAGAATACAACACAAGCAGGAAAACTTTGATTAGGCCTGGAGATAAGACTGATTGTATGTCGCCATATCACAACTGCATGGATCGATAATGACGTCAGTCACTTGAATGCCTTGCCCAGATTAGATTATTTGCAGTTTGCCGTCTTATAATTTACAGATCGGTGTGTGCAAGGTAAGAAATAACCTTTCATCGGCATGTTTCACGCCGACAATCGCGCGTCTATTCAAAGGGAAACAACTCTGTCCTCCACACCGTTAACTTAAAGTTCTGTGAATTTAAATCATTTTAATGCTGTCATCTTAACCTACTGCTTTTTTAATGAATAAGTATTCATGTTTCAGAAATGGAAGTGATTACTTAAGGTTTTTTATGCTAACTAAACGATTCCTTTTAAAGATGAAATTACTTATGATGTTTTATTAACTCAAGTCAATGTGTTGGGCGCAAGTAGGCCTCTTATATGCCCACGTCGCCCTAAAACTATAAAACCAACCAACCAGCCGTTCACTTAAATATTTGGAACGGTTCACGTCAAGCCTGGTTTCACGCAGCTTTGAGCAAGTTTCTGTTCTTGTAATGATGAAAGTATTGTATAATTTAATTCATAATGTTTCCTACTTGCCTGAAAATCTCAAATTCTTCCAGTTTATCCTATAATCTGCTCTCTAATGTGTCAGTGGTGCCCCAAACTGTTCAACAGCAAATCATAAGAAATGTGGGGCCAGTGTGGTCGGGTGAAATTGGGTTTAACGTCGTGCTTTAGAATATTTCGCTCATGCTTGTACGACGTGCAGACTGTGTATATGTGCGGCCCACTTGTACTAGCCCAGACTGAAGCTTTATAGTGTTAGCCCACTGAGATACCATGCCGCAGTGAAGCATGAATACCCGACTCAGACAGACTATACTGACTCCAAGCCGACCAGTCGTTGTTGTACCTATTAAAGCCGAGCGCCTGGCAGGGACCAACAAGTACCATATTTTAACGTCTTTTGGTATGTCTGTGAGACCAGTGAAGATGCAGGTTAGAATTGGTCTTGAGTAGCCTATGCTGACACTACACTGGTCAGGCTCGCTAACTGGTGGACACGTCATCGATCCACACACAGATCGTAAATCTGGTGTCCCCATCATTTTCGGACTGGTGTCCTCACATATCACTGCAGTGCATTGACCACACAGGTAAACTGGTGCCCTCACCTACACATCACTGTGTGCATTGACCACACAGGTAAACTGGTGCCCTCACCTACACATCACTGTGTTGACCACACAGGTAAACTGGTGCCCTCACCTACACATCACTGCAGTGCGTTGACCACACAGGTAAACTGGTGTCCTCACCTACATCATCACTGTGTTGACCACACAGGTAAACTGGTGTCCCTCACCTACACATCACTGTGTTGACCACACAGGTAAACTGGTGCCCTCACCTACACATCACTGCAGTGCGTTGACCACACAGGTAAACTGGTGCCCTCACCTACACATCACTGTGTTGACCACACAGGTAAACTGGTGCCCTCACCTACACATCACTGTGTTGACCACACAGGTAAACTGGTGCCCTCACCTACACATCACTGTGTTGACCACATAAACTGGTGTCCTCACCTACACAGGTAACACAGGTGCCCCCTCACCTACACATCACTGTGTTGACCACACAGGTAAACTGGTGTCCTCACCTACACATCACTGTGTTTGACCACACAGGTAAACTGGTGCCCTCACCTACACATCACTGTGTTGACCACACAGGTAAACTGGTGTCCCTCACCTACACATCACTGTGTTGACCACACAGGTAAACTGGTGTCCTCACCTACACATCACTGTGTGTGTTGACCACACAGGTAAACTGGTGCCCTCACCTACACATCACTGTGTTGACCACACAGGTAAACTGGTGTCCTCACCTACACATCACTGTGTTGACCACACAGGTAAACTGGTGCCCTCACCTACACATCACTGTGTTGACCACACAGGTAAACTGGTGCCCTCACCTACACATCACTGCAGTGCGTTGACCACACAGGTAAACTGGTGTCCTCACCTACACATCACTGTGTTGACCACACAGGTAAACTGGTGTCCTCACCTACACATCACTGTGTTGACCACACAGGTAAACTGGTGCCCTCACCTACACATCACTGTGTTGACCACACAGGTAAACTGGTGTCCTCACCTACACATCACTGTGTTGACCACACAGGTAAACTGGTGCCCTCACCTACACATCACTGTGTTGACCACACAGGTAAACTGGTGCCCTCACCTACACATCACTGTGTTGACCACACAGGTAAACTGGTGTCCTCACCTACACATCACTGTGTTGACCATACAGGTAAACTGGTGCCCTCACCTACACATCACTGTGTTGACCACACAGGTAAACTGGTGTCCTCACCTACACACACATAAACTGTTGACCACACAGGTGAACTGGTGCACACCTACACATCACTGTGTTGACCACACAGGTAAACTGGTGTCCTCACCTACACATCACTGTGTTGACCACACAGGTAAACTGGTGCCCTCACCTACACATCACTGCACTGTGTTGACCACAGGTAAACTGGTGCCCTCACCTACACATCACTGCTGTGTTGACCATACACATCAAACTGGTGTGTTCACCACACACTCACTGTGTTGACCACACAGGTAAACTCACCTACTCACACACATCACTGTGTTGACCACACAGGTAAACTGGTGTCCTCACCTACACATCACTGTGTTGACCACACAGGTAAACTGGTGTCCTCACCTACACATCACTGTGTTGACCACACAGGTAAACTGGTGCCCTCACCTACACATCACTGTGTGCGTTGACCACACAGGTAAACTGGTGTCCTCACCTACACATCACTGTGTTGACCACACAGGTAAACTGGTGCCCTCACCTACACATCACTGTGTTGACCACACAGGTAAACTGGTGCCCTCACCTACACATCACTGTGTTGACCACACAGGTAAACTGGTGCCCTCACCTACACATCACTGTGTTGACCACACAGGTAAACTAGTGTCCTCACCTACACATCACTGTGTTGACCACACAGGTAAACTGGTGTCCTCACCTACACATCACTGTGTTGACCACACAGGTAAACTGGTGTCCTCACCTACACATCACTGTGTTGACCACACAGGTAAACTGGTGTCCTCACCTACACATCACTGTGTTGACCACACAGGTAAACTAGGTAAACTGGTGCCCACTGGGTAAACTGGTGTCCTACCTACACATCACTGTGTTGACCACACAGGTAAACTGGTGTCCCTCACCTACACATCACTGTGTTGACCACACAGGTAAACTGGTGTCCTCACCTACACATCACTGTGTTGACCACACAGGTAAACTGGTGCCCTCACCTACACATCACTGTGTTGACCACACAGGTAAACTGGTGTCCTCACCTACACATCACTGTCTCAATGGGTACTCGAAACCTGTTATTCCTACCTGCATGGGATCTGAGAAGTAGTAGGTTGGTTGTTGACTGCACTCAGCAATCTGCCAGTCTTTTTGAGTGGCATTCTAGAAGTTGGGTAGATGAAGGATGAGGACTATTTGCTTGACAATGACATTAGAATCTATGAGACCACCTCCGTGGTGTAGTGGTTAGAGCATCCGCCCGGAGAGCGGAAGGTCGCGGGTTTGATCCCCGACCGCGTCATACCAAAAGACATAAAAATATGGTATTTGTTGGTCCCTGCCTGGCGCTTGGCATTAGTGGGTACAACAAGGACTGGTCGGCTCGGAGTCAGTATAATGTGTCTGAGTGGGTTTTTCATGCTTCACTGCTGCATGGTATCTCAGTGGGCTAGCACTATAAAACCAGCTTAAGTCTGGGCTAGTACAAGCAGCCGCACATACACACGCATGCAGGTCGTCATATGAGTGAAATATTCTCAAGCATAATGTAAAACCCAATTTCACCTCACCACACAGAATAAAGAAGTTGTATCTTCATAAAAATCATCACATGCTTGACATTAGAATGTATGTCGAAGCGTCGCCTATACAGAATAAAGAAGTTGTATATCCATAAAAATAGTCCTCATGCTTAATCTTCCAGTCATATGACGGCAGTTATAAATAATTGAGTCTGGACCAGACAACCCAGTGATCAACATCATGAGCACCGATCTACACAATTAGGATACAATAATATGTGGGTCTACGAAGTCAGTGAGCCTGACCACCTGATCCTGTCAGTCGCCTGTTACAAGAAGCATGGGTTGCTGAAGACCAATTCTGACCCGGATCTTCATGGGTCGGGGACTAGAAAGAATCATCACACGAATCATAACACAGAATAATGTTTATTACAATGAGAATTCTCTCTATATTTGAGCGTTATAACAAATGATTTGACAACAGTACAGTGCCTTACACTGGTATAACCAGGGCTCCAGATAAGGGCCGTATCGGCGTATATGCGGATATAAAATGTGCATGATACGGTAGGAAATAATTTAGAAAACGTAGCAGATACGCACTACAGCAATGGTGTATGGTCTTAGAATCATATTTATCTGAAAAAAGTATTGTTTTATAGTTTATTGACCTGTTTACACAAGAGTACCAATGTTGTGGTGCATACATGAAACGAAACACAAGATTAGTTATACTCCATTAAATTCCATTAAGTACTCTAAATGTACTCTTAAGGTTTTCCAGTACTCCTGCATTGAAACAGTAAGGAGTACGTACTCCTGATGTTGAAAATTTATCTGGAGCCCTGTATAACAATTACTGTACAACGTGTGCCTCTCATGGTGACGGGTCCCTCCATCAGCACTAGGCTGGGAAGGTGCAGCTGAATATCGTTCTACACTACAACCCTGCAGCACATCTGTCTGCAGTAGAGACCAGACTTTAACCAATGTACATGTTTCAGGAAGCTACAGTGGGCTTGTTCTATAACGCCACACTCAGCAATATTCCAGCAATGTGGCTGCTGTCATTTGAAACATCTGTGGTCCCAAATATTTACTTGCCCAGAATCCTGCTTACTGGCATTTTGCATTAACCCTTGATATCTCACTACCAATATTGTTCATCTTGTCAACAGTGGAGCCCTGTTTGTAATCCATGAACCAGAACTTCTGGATGAACAATGTTCACCAAAACTGACCCATATTTCTTAATATACAGCTTCAGACTGTTTGTGTTTACATTTCACTGTCTTACTTATTAGCTGAATGAAGTACTGCAGATGCTCACCAGTTTACACTAACTGTATTTTAATGATGTAACATTTGTAAGATTTTATGAGTGTTTCTTCTACATTTCAACTTGTGCTTATGAACTTGCAAGATCAGATCGTCTCTTGCTCATGTAAACACCTGACCCTTCCCACAATCCAACACTATGTATGCCCATGTTTCAACCTTGTTTGCATGCTAAAATCAATTCCATAACCATACCGTCAACTCATGAATATACATTTCACTCAAACACAGACAAGAAGACCAATTCAGACTTTCGTTATAAATTACAAAATGATTATCTAATCTATCATCACTTCTTTTTCTTTTTGGTCTGAAACTGCTGAGTTTTAGCCTTCACAGATTTCACAAGAGAGGTCAAGGTCATGTCCTTGACTGGCTTCAGTTCATGCCCTGGTTCTTCCTTCTGCACTGCCTTAGCTTTAGTCCTCTCACTACTGCCACTGTCAATCTTCCTCCGTTTCAACTTCTCCTCAATGATTGCCTCCATACCTTTGGTTTTCTTAAATTCCGGAGCAGAGGGATCAATGTTAAACAAATGGGAGTCAAACACTGCCCCAAACCGACTGTCATTGATGTCCATCTGAAAATCATCCCCTGTCTTTTGTGGCATGTCTTCCTCCTCCTCCTGCTTCTTCCTTTTCTTCTTCTTTTTCTTCTTCTCCACCAAATCACCCAGGTTAAAATGACGATGTCCGTCATCTTCCTCCATCATCAACAGAGAAAGCTCAGCCTGGTCCTTCTTCAACATTTCTTGTTCTTCCTCTGTCAAGTTCTTCTTCCCTTTCTTCTTCTTCTTTTTGGAAGATTCTACCTTTCCACTACTTAATGCATCAGTAAAGAAACTATCAGCCAAGCCAGCTGGGAGTTCGTCATCACTGAATGCCTGCTCTCCAGTCCTTCCTTCCTTCTTATCGTGTCGCATCTTCTTCATCTCTTCCCTCTTCTGTTTCTTCTTCTCCTTTTTCCTCTGCTGATACTCCTCCCATGGAGTCTGATCTTTCGTCTTCTTCTTAGTTTTCACTATGTCATCCGTGGTGTCTTTCAAACCGGGTTCCCATTCTATCTCCATTTCCATATCACCCTTGCGATTTGATGACTCATCAATTTCTTTCAACAAATTCTTATATTTCTCAATCTGCCTGTCCTCATCTGAAACTTCATCACTTTCATCTGAATGAGCCACTAAACCACTGTAGCGTTGCCCTTCATCCTCAGATGAGGATGCCAAATAGGCCTTGAAATCATCCTCGTTAATCTCCCCCTTTTTGTCCATCTTTTTCATTGTCACCTTCACTCTGTCCTGGTCCGTTTCATCCCATGTCAAATCCACTTTTGACTGACACAAAGCAGAAGTGAAAAAGGCAGGGGTTTATATGATGTAGCATCCGGAAGAGAAAAGCACTCACTTTTAACAGGTTGATCGAATGTCATATCATCTGGTATGTACCTCAAATCCATCCGAGCTGAACTTGTTTCATACTCCATTCCATCACATTCGTCATAAATCTTACTAGCAGTTGCAACTGAATCACACTCTAAAACAGCATAGTAATATTTAAGCCTATTCAGCTGATATTCACGAAGTTTTTCACGATGATACGGATTGTCTTCATTCTCATCCTCATTTCTTTCTTCATCAACATCCACCTCCTGGCCATGTTCCTTCAGCTCTGCTGGGCCAAACATTTCTTCCTCCTTTATCCGCTGAAGCCCGAACTCGGACGGGTAGATACGAACAGAATTGATCACACCATGGGATGGTTTAAATGAGTTTAACAACACAAACAGATCAGCAGCTTTGATCCTATCCCAGTCCATATTGCAAATAGCCAGACGATGACTCAACTCATCTGCTTCTGGTACCCCCTTGTCCAGCTCGCCCCACTTGTGATCAAATCCATCATCTTCTTCCTCCACTTCATCATCGTCTTCATCAGTCGAACTCTCAATCAGCCCCTCACCACGGGCGTAATCTGGTTCCTCTTCCCCAACTTTAGGAACAGAGCCAGCAATGTCACTATCGCTAGACTCGTCCTCTGAATCATCATCATCATCATCACCATCATCATCATCATCACTGCTTTCTTCTTTGACAATGCCTGTTTTCTTCCCATTTGCAATACCTTTGTTTTTGCTACCTTTGGAAACGGCGTTCACACTTTCCTCACTAGACTCTGATTGATGCTGTTCTTCCTCACTACTTGATTGGGCACTGTTTTTCTTCCTCATTATGTTTGATTTTTTGACAGAATTAGTACTCTGTGCGACCGATTTAGTCTTTTTCGCATTAGTTTTCTTGTTATCTGACGATTTTGACTTCGTTTCTACTTTCTTTTTGAGTTTTGCAATGATATTACTCTCTTCGTCAGAGCCGTCACTATCGATTTCATCATCCGTGGAATCACTTCCATCTTCGTCTGACAGTTCATAATACTTCTTCAGATTTTCGTTAGTCGTAGACTGAACTGGCCTGCCTCTCTTGTCGACTGAATATTTCAGCTTAAATTTCTTGTCAGTGAACATCGATTGAAATCTTTTGTCGATTTTTACCTTTTTCTTGTTCTTTGGCATCGTTCGAAACCGTGGATCTTTGACGATGTGAGCAAATCGCTCATCCTTCCTTATGTCATCCATTTCTGTGAATGAAATGTGTCAATATGTAGTAAAAATATGAATCAAAACACTACTTCCCGTCCACATGTGGAGCTACCATGTGCTTTGTGCACATAAACTCATGACGTCAGTGGTTTACGCGTAAACAGTAAAGGGCATGCACTCTTGGAGGAATCTTTCTATTTGGAGAGTCGGATAACCCGTACGTAAAATATTTTAATCATCATGGTTCAGTTCGTTCGACCAAACCTCTCACACATAAATATCGTTACAATAAACGCCCATGTGGAATAATGAGAAACTGCTATGTATACAATTTCTTGAAGTGTTTCGTTTCTTTGGTGAATTGGAAAAAATAAACTCTAACGTTCTTTGTTTTTGTCTCTTTGATAACTGTTTCGGTTATGGTCTGCTTCTCTTGACCATCTAAACAGGAACAAAGTGATTTGGTGACCAGTTAGTGATGACACTATTGATACAATAAAATACAATATTTATGTCCGTACTCAAGAGGCCACAGGCCTATAGTACAAATACAGTGAATAACAAGTTATAATTTAGTATAAGTTTTAAGAATATGACTTGTTTGTATGTGGTAGCGTAATACTATATATACTTAGATAATCTTTCTAAACGTACTTTACTAGAATTGGTTAAAAGGGATATGAATTTGTAAATGTCAGGATGTACAAAGTAGAAGCTGTTAATATCCTTATTTCTCAACATATCATAGGATGGACATATACAAAGAAAATGGTACTCGTCATCAATTATATTCAGATAACACATTTTACATATCCTTTATTCTTTTTTTTAAGCCTAAATACCTACCTGATTCTATTAGCAAATCATGAGGTGACCAGTGGAATTGCGCAAGGCTTATTCTGAATTCTCTTACATTTAGCACAGACAGATGCTGTTCTCTGTGGAAAAATTGTTTAATCATTTTATGATAAACCATTTGCCACAGATAATTTCATTCCAGTTTTGCATGTACATATTTTTAAGTCGTTGTTACATTGATGCAATGCGTCCACATAATGCAGACATGCTTCAAGTCATACTCAGGATCTAGTTGATTATCACCTGATTGAGAACAGATCTATTGACAGCAACATTGTGAACTTGAGGGTAGATGTACTGAACGGGCCCATTAAGCTCATTAGGCAAGGCAAACATGTGTACAACAGAAGAGTACTCTCCAGTTATTCTATCATTGTTCTACAAGAGCTGTGTTGAGTCTGTTTTAACATTTTCTGTACAAAACTGGTATGGTGCCCTATCACTTCAGAACAGAAACAAACTTCAGAAAATCGTCAAAATTGGCAGCAAAATATCCGGGTCATCATTTGAAAATTTGGGGAATATCTACCAAAGGCAAACTGTTAATTTAGCTGAAATGTTTTAAATGACTCCTCTCACTTCTTACACAATTGTTATCAACTTTTACCCTCCGGCCGTAGGTACCTTTTGCCTCGTTTTAAATCCAACCGTTCAAAGCCCTCTTATATTCCAACAAGCATGACTTTTAAACAGTAACGTTCGCTTTAACATGTCAGTTGTTCTTCACATGTTGTTTCTCATATGATTTTATTAGTGTGGTACCTGCTTTTATGTGTACACTTATTATAATTATCTATTTTAAGATTATCCTGTCTTCGGTGTGTACGAGTGTGCGTGTGCGTGTCTGTGGGTGTCATACTTTGTTTTTCTTATATATGTTGGGATTGTGTTGCTCTCATGTACAAAGAATTCCCTGTGGGCAATAAAGAATTATCTTATATCCTATCTTATTTTTAGAAGTGTTCATAACTATCTCCCTGTACCGCATCCAGACGTCTTTCTCTTTTGAGTCAACGGGGGATGTAGTTAGGGTGTAGGATGTAGTTAGGGTGTAGGATGTAGTTAGGGTGTAGGATGTAGTTAGGGTCTAGGATGTAGTTAGGGTGTATTCTGAAAAGTTTTGGATGTGACAATAATCTCACCCATGTCACCCTTGAAGGAAGCCATTTCATGAATAAAAATTAGTAAGCCGTTGAATCAGCTACACAGAAACATTCTCGAAATGTTCGTAGCTCTAAGAATTCTTAACTTTGATCGTAGTCAATGTGTTAAGAATGGGCTTAAGAAGTTCGTAGGGCTACGAACGTTTGGAGAATTGTTAGCCTGGTCTCTTATAATAACAGAAATACGTAGGAAGTTTGAAACTGGAAAAATGATGTCAAACATATTCCAAGTAAAGAATATGTAGATCCACATGTGACCAGGTTTTAATTGTAACACATAAGTTTTTTCCAGGAACTTTACTCGTTTTTCCGCTGTTCTAAATGATCGCCACTCTTAGTCGTCCTTGTCAGCGCTAACCAATGGAACTGCACACCCTGAACCACATTATTTTCCCTAAAGCCTAGCCCTCCCTGCAATGCTAAAGCCCTAAATGAAGCAAGTCTAGATACTAGAATCTCCCATCTCACAGGGGCTCCTTTTCAAGCCTTTTAATTTAAATTCGTTTATTTGTTACTTTCAAAATTACTAGTATTCATATTCAGAGACTAAGCCTTAGTCTAAAGCTTAAAACAAGTATAGGTTTGTTCACTACCTTCACATATGATTTGATCTATGGCAGATACTCCTGATAGTGGGTTCGACTCCCAGATTCTCCCGGATACAGGGAGCCCAGTAGTTAAAGGGTTCGCTCGTTCCGCCGAAGACCCGGGTTCGATTCTCCCCACTTGGTTGATGTAAACTTACGCTCAAAAGAAAGTACACACCTGATTCTTTGGTAAAATATTTTCTTAAAAACAACATTAATATTTAAAAGTGTTTTGATTCTGCCTTGTCACAAACATTGTGCAAGTGTTTCCAAACACCACAGATATCGTACCCAATTACAACATTGCCAGCAAAATATTTGTTTTGTTTTTTTATATACTGTAGTCCCAAAACACCAGGTGTGTACTTTCTTGTGTACGTCAGTATATGTCAACGTATCCCAGGTGCGTGCGTATCAGCTTCTTGTGTCAGTAATTGGATTGTCTGGTTCAGAATCGATTATTTACAGATCACTGTATGCCATGCAGCCGGAGTGTTGCTGTTTCGGCGTTACGAACTGACACAATAATGTAATGGAATTCAAGGTTTGTTCCTTCATACAACACAATAAGCCAACATATGTGGACTGTACATGAATGTGTTTGTAAACTGTGCATGTTAAAAGACTAGTGCTTGGAATTGGTTAAAATCTCATAATTGATGATTGGTTCATTACTACCGATCAATCATCAAAAATAATTGATTAGCGTCATTTATGAAATTTGTTAATGCACATTAAAATAAGGGGGAAAAATGTAGTTCTTCTGGGGTTTTTTGGCAAAATTTCACATCTTTAAAGGATGACTAGTATGTTAGGAACATACATTTCTTGGAATCTTTAAGATAAATTCAATCATGACTTGAAACGAGCTTGTAGTGCTTATGAAATGTAACAGACAAGTCCAACCTTGTGAAAAATACTGTTAATGAAAACAAGTGTTCCAGAATTGTTTGTGTTCGATTATGAGAAATTATGATCGATTGTTTGGTCGTTTAGTCACTACGACCAATCTTCGATTATTTCAATTAATCGGACCACCACTATAAAAGACACCCTAATATACCGTCACACAGTGACCCTAGATTCTGAACGCTTGTATCCCACCGACATAAATGATATGGATTCGACTTTACTGAGTGCTTCAGTCAACGTATGTTGAAATACTTTAAAGTTTAAAGAGTATTCCAGATCCATGACTACTGAACACAAAAGTTGATCCATTTTCTGATACAAAAGACAAGTAAGTTTTCGATTACATTAGCTGTTGTCATCGGGGAATAGTTTTAAACGAGAGTAAAGCTCAGCGCCAAGGCACTGCAGCACGCTAGTTTCAGATACAAGGTCTTGTCAGCAGACGACACTGCCGATGGTCTACTTCAGAACACAGGTAGTGGGTATCCATTCTCACTGTCAACCTTTGGGAGACGTCTGTTGTAATTAACCCATGTCACCAGAGGGACTCTTCTTGTCTCTTCAGATCTTAGAAAGTTGTTTTGAAATTCTTTGTAATGGTTCACCTGCCTTGCAAACAGTAGTTTTTAAGACTTGGAACATTAATACGTTACTTAAATGAGACAGGTTTGTGGTCATACGTCAAGACTACTACAAGCATGCACACATACCTACAGTGCAACCAGAAATTATTGAGAATTTAAAGATTGTATTTTTTTTTTATTTTCTGTCATTACTCACGTATTAAATGTGAACATTAGCAGAACATAACTCCAGATTCAAAGACAGGTGAACAGTTAGTATTTTGTCAAGTCACCATGGGCAGCAATGCAGGCTTCAATGCGGCGCGGCATACTACTGATCAAAGAAGTTAGAAAGTTGTGGTCCATGCTGTCCCAATATCGGACCACCTCTTCTTTCATTTCAGCAATATTTGTCAGATTTTTCTTATTGACACTTTCCTTCATAAGTCCCCAAACATTTTCTATTGGATTTAGGTCAGGGCTATAGCTTGGCCAATCTAATAATGTCATATTTTTGGTCCGAAACCAGGCCTGTGAATGCTTTGAACGATGTTTTGGGTCGTTGTCCTGCTGGAAAATCCAAAATTTTCCACAGAACACGTGAGCAGATGGAAGTAAATGTCCCTCGAGAATATCTGTGTACCGCTCACTGTTCATATTCCCTTCAAATACACAGATATGCCACCCCACACGTTAAATTTCGGACTGTACTTTGGGCGCTGATACAAAGGTTTTTCAGTTTGTTTGGTCCAGAATTTCAGTGTATTAGGAAACAGCCACACAGAACTTTCATCTGAGAAAATCACATTGTCCCAGTTAAAATTTCTATGCTGTAAGCACCAGTTCAACCTTCGCTCCTTTTGTTCAGGTTTCATGATCGGTGATGGAATTCCTCGACTTTTCTGCCAACCCATTGCATGCAGCTCAGTTCTAATTGTCTCCTTACAGACAGCCACAGTTCCTCTATCAATCATATCCAGCCTTAAGTTTTCTAAACTCCTTCGTTTGTTTTAGAAACAAGAATACCAAGC